GTTAGCAGTTGGGTTAGGATTGCTAATGTTAGGTTAGGTTAGGTTAGGGACTGGTCGACTCAATATATTTAAACAGATCAATTTGCTCATGATTGAAAGGAAGAGAAAGGTGACAATTAGTACCTTTTATAGAGAGTGTGGAGGGGGTGTTACGGGGCAGGTGGGGGAGGTGCCATGGGGCAGGTGGGAGGGAGGTACATGGGGCAGGTGGAGGGTGTGGCATGGGGCAGGTGGAGGGGAAGCATGGGGCAGGTGGAGGGAGGCGGGGCAGGTGGAGGGGTGTGGTACGGGGCAGGTGGGAGGGGTGGCATGGGCAGGTGGAGGGGTGTGGTACGGGGCAGGTGGAGGGGTGAGGAGGAAGAGCACCAGGTGGAGGGGGTGTTACGGGGCAGGTGGAGGGGGTGTTACGGGGCAGGTGGAGGGGGTGGAGGAGGGAAGTTACACCAGGTGGAGGGGTGTGGTACGGTAGATGGTGGAGGTGTTACTGCAAGTGGAAGAGGTGGAGGGTACACATGTGGTTCAAGAGAAGGGTGGGCGTGAGTTTGGGCGGAGCTTCGAGGTCGCCGCCCACACACACACACGGACGACCTTGTCTTCTCGTGTTGTCTACCTGTGTCTAGTCCTCTCTCTCTCTCTCTCTCTCTCTCTCAGATAACAATTCACGTAAAACTATTAGGCTTGGGACCTGATCTTATTGGTTAGGTTAGGTTTGGTTTGGTTAGGGTTTATGTAGTAGGGGGAGAGTGAGAGGCAGTAAAGTGAAATAGGGGAGGGAGGGAAAGGGAGGGGGGTCACTACTACCATCTCCTTCACCCGACTGCCTTGATAGATAGATAGATAGATAGATAGATAGATGGATGGATTATCTTACATATTCTCGTCGATTCAGCTTTTACATGGACAGTAACATGAAACATATATCCCAGGACAAGCAAAGAAACAAACCCACACAAATAAGCAAACAGACAAACAAACACATATAAACAAATAAACAAACACATACAAACAAACAAACACACATAAAAAAACAAACACACACATAAACAAATAAACAAACGGAGTGACGAAGATATTTTGAGTGACCAGGAGACAGTCTTTGTCCCTTGCCTGTCTTTGGGTTGTAATGTAATACTGTACTGTGTGTGTGTGTGTGTGTGTGTGTGTGTGTGTGTGTGTGTGTGTGTGTGTGTGTGTGTGTGTGTGTGTGTGTGTGTGTGTGTGTGTGTGTGTGTGTGTGTGTGTGTGTGTGTGTGTGTGTGTGTGTGTGTGTGTGATCCTCCTCCTTCCTCTCTCCTAGCGAAGGATGTGACTAATGGTGACTTCGAAACGTTCTGTAGAGGAAACGGATTTGAGAAGCTGACTTTTGAGAGAGAGAGAGAGAGAGAGAGAGAGAGAGAGAGGATGCAAGGGGGTGCCCAATAAACTAGCCGTCGCGCGGGACAAATTAAACAAAAATAAGATAATTATGAAGAGGAGGACTGGAGAGGAAATTCCGTTATATCAAAGGTTCGTTAGATGTAAAACCCTCGTCTAACGGATCATAGATGGATGGATGGATAGTGGTGAAGGTAGATCAAGTGAGAGTTAGTTGTGGTGGTAGATCTGATGTCGACCACAGTGTAACATGGCTGCTTCAACCTGACTGCCTAAGGTGGTGTGTGTGTGTGTGTGTGCGCGTGTGTGTGCGCGCGCGTGTGTGTGTGTGTGTGTGTGTGTGCGCGTGCGCGCGCGCCGTCACCATGTTACCCCGGCAGGCAGGCACGTGTGTTGTGTTGACATCTCACCACCACTAAAACGTCCGCCTCTATTAACACAAATATTATTATTATTAGTAGTAGTAGTAAGTTAGGTTAGGTTAGGTTAGGTTAGGTTATCTCAGGCTCGATTAGGTTAGATCAGATCAGGTTGGGTTAGATTAAGTTAGATTAGCATTATCTTAGTTAATCCTAAGGTAAAATAAACTAGGTGTGATTAATCGTCAAACAATCCCCCCATGGCATTACCGATTAGGACACACACACACACACACACTCCAGGTGTTGTGTACTAAGCGTCATGAACCGGGCCTGACCACCACCACCTATTACCCAATTTGGTTACTTTTCTCTGTTGTTGTGGGTGAGGAGGTAGCTGCCCCAATCACCGCCTTGGAGACTAAATTAGGTAAGGCGTTAGGGCAGGGTGGTGTTGGGGCCAAACTGGAGGGGATGATAACCTTGTGGTACCCTGGTGTAGTGGTGGTGGTGTGGTAGTGGTGTGGTAGTGTTTTGTTGGGTTTTAGGGAGTAATGGTAATAGTGTTGATGCAGGGTAATGGAGGTAATGATGGTGTAAAGATTACGCCATCACAGCACCACTATACGACACCATCATTCTTCTATCAATGGCGCAGGTAATGATGTTGATGTTATGGTAAAGTTTCCATAATATCCACGATGATATATATGATAGTGGCGTTGTGATGGTGTTATAATGGTGCAACTGGACTTGGTATGAATGAGTCAAGGTCCCTGGGATGATGGTGGTGGTGGGCGGTGAGAGTGACAGCTGCACCATAAATGAAGACTTAATGGGACATCATTAGTTATATCTGAGACGCCCTTACTCTAAATACCTTTAAATGACGAGTGTGGTGAAGGTGGTGGGTGGGTGGGTGGTGAAAGTGGGTGGGTGGTTTTACTTAAAAGAAAACCAATAAAAAGTACACACACACACACACACACACACACACACACAGTATATTCCCTTAACACTGACTAAACAAAAACGCATCGGCCTGACTCACACCTACACAAATATGGCCGCCTAGAGATGGTGTCAAAATATCTCTGAGACTCTACCATATTCGTTCTCTTCTCCCTCCAGCTGTAGGTTGAGGCTCACTGTGCAAGTCTTTGGTGGTGGGGGTGGTGGGGGGGGGTTGTCTTAAGGGTTTGTGAGTCTTAAAGCCCCCCCCCCCCCCCCACGCATCGTACCTGTGACCATGTTACCTGTAGAACACCCACCAAACAATAGAGTCGCTGATTACATGTTTATCAGAGCATTACCCATGTTATTTTTTTACCCGTTCAACATGGCGGTGTAAACAAACCCTCCCCGCTTACGTCATCGTCGACCAACTCAATAGATGTTGTTGTTTTTTATTTACGTTGTTTATGTTGATTGAAGTTGTTTATTTATTACAAGTAGAGATGAAATAGTAAAGAAAGTAGTGGGTTAAGTTAGGTTACGCAAGTATTTTGTGGGTTAAGTTCAGTTAGATTAGCTTAGATTAGGTTATAAGATAATTTTGTGGGTTAAGTTAAGTCAGATTAGCTTAGATTAGGTTGTGAGATAATTTTGAGGGTTAGGTTAGAGAATTGTGGGGAAAGGCATCTGACTATATGCTTGGAATTCAGTATTGTATTTGGGTAAGATAAACGCTATTTGACAGGAGGCAACACCATGCATTATATTTGAACCCAGTGTTGGAATGTGGTGAAAGTATAATGAGTGTATGATGTATAAGGAGATATAATGAAAGTGAAGAGAGAGGGAGGAGGGGATAGAAGAATATAGAAAGAGTGGGCGGAAGGGAGAGAGAGGGATGAGAGACAGGTGTGAGGGAGGTAAGAGAAGGGGAGAGATAGAGAGAGAAGGAAGAGAGACAGGTGTGAGGGGGGTAAGAGAAGGGGAGAGATAGAGAGAGAGAGAAGAGAGACAGGTGTGAGGGGGGTAAGAGAAGGGGAGAGATAGAGAGAGAGAGAACAACGTGACCTAACCTAACCTATGATGGTTTGATATGCATTTGGGTGTGACCAAGACAGGTCGGTGTGTGTGTATTGAGGTCAGGCCCAAGAACTGTGTGACCTTCGACCTGACTATGTAGGGTAAGCCATTATTCTCTTCTGTTTTGTGACCTTTGACCTGACCAAATAGTGAACCATATTTTCTTCGTCTTCTGTTGCCATCTGTTGCAAACGGTACTGTTGTGTCCTGTTGGGTGTTGAGGTGAGGAAGGAAGGGAGGGAGGGAGGGATTGTTGTAGGATTGACTGGTATGGTTTTGGATGGATGGTTGAGGGTTGTAGGTGTGTTGGAGGGTTGTAGTTGTGTTGGAGGGTTACGTTGGAGAGTTAGGGATGTAGGTGGGGGGTGTGTAGTCTGCCATACAAGGACATGTAGAACAGGGGGCAGACTGGGCCATGTTGAGGTATGGTCTGCCATCTGTGATACTTTCACCCAGTTACTATTCATTTAAGTGATGGCTAGGTTAGGTTGTCTGACCTGATGCTTTCTCACACAAAATTGCCCATAGTGAGTGTGTGTGTGTGGCATTACATTGTTGGCAGGTGTCCACTACCTAGCTCATTCTGTCAACTCTCCTCCTCCTCCTCCCTCCTCTTCTTCCTCCCTCCTCTTCTTCCTCCCTCCGCCTCTTCCTCTCTCCTCCTCTTCCTCTCTCCTCCCTCCAGTATTTAACCTTTTAGACCAACAGGTGTTTTTAGATTATCATTATCCACACACGTACGAGATTATACCTATAACTACAAACATGTGCCTCTATAATCACGTACAACTTAACCTCATTAAAACTACAAACGTTTCTATAATCACGTACAGCTTGACCCCATTAAAACTACAAACGTTTCTATAATCACGTACAACTTGACCCCATTAAAACTACAAACGTTTCTATAATCACGTACAACTTGACCTCATTAAAACTACAAGCGTTTCTATAATCACGTACAACTTGACCCCATTAAAACTACAAGAGTTTCTATAATCACGTACAACTTGACCCCATTAAAACTACAAGCGTTTCTATAATCACGTACAACTTGACCCCATTAAAACTACAAGCGTTTCTATAATCACGTACAGCTTGACATCATTAAACTACAAACATGTGCGTCTATAATCACATACAGGTGGACCCCATAAAGTTACAAAGGTGTGCCTCTATAATCACGTACAGGTGGACCCCATTAAGTTACAAAGGTATTTTCTCTTGTTTCAGATCCTACAGAACCTGGGTAAAGCAGACAGGACAGTGGATGACGTGTTTGACGAGTACGAGTTGAACTTCAGCAGACAGCAGACCAACGCCAACCGCCTCCACAAGGAAGTCGCCAACTACCTCAGATGTTGCAGAGGTGAGGGGGAGAGGGGGGGTGGAGTGGGACAGGTGGAGGGTGGGGAAGGTGAGTGTGGGGGAAGGGGTGAGTGTGTGTGGGGGGGGGTTGTGTGTGTGTGTGTATTAAGGCCTTGATTACTTCGCATGATAACACGTAGTGGATTATATCATGTACACACCACAAGAGGGAGGGAGAGGGGTGAGGGAGGAAGATGAGGGAGGGTTAACCATGTCTTGGCTGAGAATATTACGCCAATAATCATATTTTACGTCAGGGAGGAGGTGGGGGTGAGGGAGGGGGAGGTGAGGGAGGAGGGAGAACTGAGATTGCAAGGTGTCATTAAGTCTGTGTTAGCAAGAACCTACTGCATGCCTCCTCCTTCTACGTCTTCTTTACACCCACACGCCACGACCACACCCACACGCCACGACCACACCCACACGCCACGACCACACCCACACGCCACTACCATTGTCGCCACTACCAGATCCACACGCCACACCCACACGCCACTACCACACGCCACTACCACACCCACACGCCACTACCACACCGTTAATGAGTGTTGTTGTTGTTGTTAGTACCAGCTGATAGGGTCATTAAGCACCGTCCATGAGTGTTTGTTTATGCTGTTGTTGTTAGTGCCAGCTGGTAGGGTCATTAAGCACCGTTAATGAGTCTTGGTCACCTCAACGTAATTAAAATACCCGGATTAATAATACAGTATTGATTTAAATGTTCACCTGTCATGTTGTTGTTAATTTGCTATCGTATTTTTGTTGTGTTTTTGTTATTTATTTTACTCCTTATTCGTCAGAAGTAGGTCAGGAGTGCGTCACATATTAGGCGTCACAAGGAGTTAGGAGTGCGTCACATAATAGGCGTCACAGGGGGGAAGGAGTGCGTCACATAAGAGGCGTCACAAGGGGTTAGGAGTGCGTCACATAATAGGCGTCACAGGGGGGAAGGAGTGCGTCACATATTAGGCGTCATAAGGGGTTAGGAGTGCGTCACATAATTGGCGTCACAGGGGGGAAGGAGTGCGTCACATATTAGGCGTCATAAGGGGTTAGGAGTGCGTCACATAATTGGCGTCATAAGGGGTTAGGAGTGCGTCACATATATTAGACGTCAAAAGGATGTTAGGAAGGAACTATGGCGTCACAAGTCCGTCACATACCACCCCAGCCATCACACCAAAGTTACAGTGACAGATTTAACGAAGAGGATAAGCATGCCTGCCCCTTCCCTTCCCATCCATCTCCTCCCCCCTTCATTTTCTCCATCTTCCCTTTCCCCATCCTCCCCCCTCCTTCCCTCCCTTAACCCCTCCCTCTCCTTCCCTCCTTCCCCCTTCCCCCCTTCCTTGACACCCTCCAGGTATTCATGAAGTGTTGACACGGGTGGCTGAAGAGGCTGGGAGATCAGGAGCCAATGTTAATATACGAGACTCACGAAATGTTAAAAATTACAGAATATTATTGACTCGTAATGTTAATTTACCATTTAGGAATTGATTGTGGATTGAATACATTTTTTTTTTGTCAGATGAAAAGAAATTAACACTCAGATTAGAATTTACCGTAACACCTAAATATTCGTCCGTTGTAGTGGTCGCCGGTCCAACAACTCTCGCGTGAGGGTCCGTCTGACTCTCTCTCTCTCTCTCTCGTCGCCATCCACTAAACAGTTTTATCCCAGTGTATAAGATCACTTCCTAGGAACCCACAAGCACACGCGTCGCTAGTGAAGGATGCGTGCCGTTATGTCAGGCAAGATTCGACGTTAGGAATGAGGGGGTTTAGGGGTTATTTTCCGCTGGCTGAGTCCCAGGTGGGTTATTATTATCATCATCTGGGTGGGGAAAAACAGTGGTGGTGGTGAACGGTATGGCGGAAGTCACTCTCGCCTGCCTGCCTGATCGACTGCCCGCCTCCGTGACTATACCGTACACTGCAAGTTTTCTTCATATGTCTACACGCTTACATGTTTACACGCGCGCGCACACACACACACATAAACACGCATTTCTCTCTCTCATATATTTCCCACCTCATTTGTCATCCCTCCTCGTTCATCACCGTTACCCTCTTCCTCTTCCTTCCTCCTCCCCTCGTGCGTCACTTCCGTCCGTGTCACTTTCCAACAGTGTCATCATCATCACTCCCCATAGTTTTGAGAAGGGACTGACAGAGGGGAGAAGGAGGTTAAGTGAGAGAGAAGGGAGGTTAAGGAGAGAGAAGGGAGGTTAAGTGGAGAGAAGGGAGGTTAAGTGAGAGAGAAGGGAGGTTAAGGAGAGAGAAGGGAGGTCAAGGAGAGAGAAGGAGGCAATGAGAGAGAAGGGACGGAGAGAGAAGGGAGGAGGAGGCTCAGTGGGAGGGGGTGATGCTTTTTCAATAACAGCTGTACCTTGGAGACAAATGAAAAAAAAAAAAAAAAAAAAAAAAAAAAAAAAAAAAAAAAAAAAAAAAAAAAAAAAAAAAAAAAAAAAAAAAAAAAAAAAAAAAAAAAAAAAAAAAAAAAAAAAAAAAAAAAAAAAAAAAAAAAAAAAAAAAAAAAAAAAAGAGAGAGAGAGAGAGAGAGAGAGAGAAGAGAAGAGAGAGAGAGAGAGAGAGAGAATGTATTGGTTCTACCTCGTATCTTGTGGGGTGACCTGTGCCCGTGTGGGTATGTCCGGTCGCTCGAGTGAACCGGGCATACTTGTCCTGTGTGGGGGTGTATGTGGAGGGGGGGGGTCCCTGTTAACATTGGTCCCTGTTAACATTGGTCCCTGTTAACATTGGTCCCTGTTAACATTGGTCCCTGTTAACATTGGTCCCTGTTAACCTTGCCGTTCCATTTGATGTTGACGAAAACAGGTGATAGCCAGCAGGTGTAGGGATGGTTGTTGTCGCCCACTCCAACCAGACATGTGGTGCATTGATAAGAGGAATGGGTGGTGAGGGTCGCCTGTTGGGTGATAAGGCGGGGGTAGGGGAGGTTGTGAGGGGTGGATGAAGGGTGGGGAGGTTGGTGGATGAAGGGTGGGGAGGTTGATGGATGAAGGGTGGGGAGGTTGATGGAGGGGTGACAGTGCAAGAGGTTGGGGTGGAGGGGTGGATGAAGGGTGGGGAGGTTGGTGGAGGGGTGGAGGAAAGGTGGGGAGGTTGGTGGGGGTTGATATGGGGGTGGATGAGACTAGAAAGGGGTGGAGGGATTTACACAGGTAACATGGAAGGCGTTCAGCCATGTATTGACCGAGTGAGTGAATGACTGGCAGATTCTTGAGGTGACTGGTTGAATGACTGACTGAGTGGGTGTGGGAGGAAGGGAGTGGGAGGATGCTTGATACACACTAACAAGGTGAGTGGGAGGTAGTCGTGGGCGGTGACGTAAATACACTCCTTCCTCATCTGTCACATCGCCACCTGCACCATCTTCCGGCCCTTGTTACATCTAATACCTCTCAACAACCACTATTACGACCCCATAAAAACAACAACAACCACTTCAATAACAACCTCCTAAATACCTCTCAACAACCACTATTACAACCCTATAACCTCCTAACTATGAATAATACGTGTTATTGACTTGTTGTTGTGTTTTCAGCGCTTCACGGGGCCAGCAAAAGCCTGTTCGAGACCCTAGCTGAGGTGTACGAGCCGGAATGGGTGGGGCATGAACTCCTGTACGCCCAGTCTCAAAACTCTGACATGCTGTGGACGGATTTCTGTCATAAGATGCAAGACCAAACCCTGACACCACTCACCGCCTACCAGCAACAGTTCCCAGAGATCAGGGTTAGTATTGGTGTCTCTTGTGTTGCTGCCTCTTGTGTTGGTGCCTCTTGTGGTGTTGATGGTGTTGATGTGTTATTTCATTGTATTTTTAGTATTTTTTCTTGTTGTGGTTCCTTCTTCTTCATTCTTCTTTTTTCTCTTTGTGGCTCCTCCTCCTCCTCTTACTTCATTTTCCTCTTCTTACAACTCTTCCTCCTCCTCCTCCTCATCCACGAAAAAGGAAATTCCAAAAGCATAAAAAAAAACCCCACTCCTGCAATACTCGTCTACCTGATGGGGGCCGACACAGGTAGTCCCACATCCTTGACCACTCCAAGTCTCTGTGGTGATGTCTGGAACCTTGTCTCGTAGTGCTAACCCAAGCTGACTGATCCTGGTGGGGGAGAGTGGGGAGGTGTTTGAGCCTTTACACCACACACACCTTCTCTCTCTCTCTCTCTCTCTCTCTCTCTCTGGGTTAGGTTAGGTTAGTTTGGGGCATGTTAGAACTATGGCTCATTTGACCTGTTGCGCTGTAGTGGCGTATCAGATAGGAGGTGAGTGTGTGTGTAGGGTGTGGTTGAGGGAGCAGGGGTAGTAACAGCATGTGTACATAACACCTGACGAAGGCATTGACATCTGTGTGTGTGTGTGTGTGTGTGTGTGTGTGTGTGTGTGAGAGAGAGAGAGAGAGAGAGAGAGAGAGAGAGAGAGAGAGAGAGAGAGAGAGAGAGAGAGAGAGAGAGAGAGAGAGAGAGAGAGAGAGAGAGAGAGAGAGAGAGAGAGAGAGAGAGAGAGAGAGAGAGAGAGAGAGAGAGAGAGAGAGAGAGAGAGAGAGAGAGAGAGGGGTCAACACTCCCTCCTATTAAGCGATGGGAGTTATTTTTAATTATTTTCGTGAGGACAATAGTTTTTTATTAATATTTTGGTGGTGAAAAACAAAACAGAACCGATCAGAATCGCCAAGTGCCAAACAGAACTAATCAGGACAACCCCTGCCAGACATAACCAATCAGGACAACCCCTGCCAGACAGAACCAATCAGAACCATCCCGTGCCAGACAGAACCTGAGTAGCACCGCCGTTGGCAAAGCTCCTTGGATTTTAAGAATGCTTCGGTTCCTTTGCGTCAAGACAGTACAACGCCACACCACTTACTAAGGGCGGAAATCCCAGTACTCTGATGCGGATCTGTGACCCTTATGGCATCTTGGCTCTGAGTACCGAGTTCGTGGTATGGATTTCCTATTTTTTTTTAAATATATATGTATTTTAAACTAAAGTACTACCGCATTCTTCTCACGGTCACATTGGGGGAAGGAGGGGGTTGAGGAGAGAAAGGAAGGGGAGGGGAAGAGGAGGTGGGGTTGAGGAGAGAGAGGGGGGGATGGGGTTACAGAAAGTAGGTGAAGTGAGAGGAGGGGGAGGGAGGGGAGGGGGTATACATGTGTAGGTATAAAATTATGTATACATGTGTAGGTATAAAATTATGAATACATGTGTAGGTATAAAATTATGTATGTATGAAACTGGTGTGTATGTAAATGATGCTTGGTATGAATAGTTATGTACCAGGCCAGGTGAGCACCATTCATTACCACCGCCCTCACCTGCGTGCTGTCACAGAGGTTTCCCTAGTCACAAATCCTCAATGTTATTTTCACCATCCAGACGACGTTAACCTGTGGTGGATATAACTGTTGGTTGAGAATCTGTTTAGGGGTGTGAGATTAATCAAAAATGTTTATATTTTACTCATGTTTATGATAAATGTTTAGAGATTATGAGTTAGGAATATTAGGGAGGAAGAAAGGAAAGTGTCAGCCATTTTAATTATGAGAAAAATGATAATCCATTTAAAAAGATTAAAAAGGTTATATCGTCAGGCCTTAATACAAACTCTTAACTCAAGGTTGATTTATTACACGATTACAACCTTTATTAACCTTGGTAGTCGTAGCAGCTAAAACAATAGCAACAAGGCAAGTGTAATATACATCTGTGAATTAGCTCAACATTGCTTGCTCAGCTCAGCCCAGCTCAGCTCAGCCCAGCTCAGCTCACTACCCTAATTCCCTTCCGCATTGTTCGCTGCTGAAAAACTGCACCAATTTTAAACCACTTCAAGATGTCTGTAAACAATGCTGACTTTTTATTCCTCAGACCCGATGGTGTGTGTGTTTGTGTGTTCATGCGTGCGTATGTGCGTGCATGCGTGCATAATCAAAAGTAGTTGGTCTGTAATCGTGTTACTGTAATGTACTCAGTACAGTAGTAGTCTGTCTGTAATCAGCAGTAATCTGTCCGTAATCAACAGTAATCTGTCCGTAATCAGCTGTAGCCTGTCTGTAATCAAAGATCATAAATACAGTTTGTCTAACAATGTTTTAATACATTTCTTTAAAATTTGTACAACCGACTTGTACGGATGGATGACTTGTCAGATCCAAGGTTGATTTGGTCTGGCGACCAGCAAGTTATGTTGGTCATTTGTGTAAAAGGAAAGTCGTTATTATCTCATGTTTTTATTAACATGTTCAAGTTATGGAAGGAGAATATAATACAAAGAGTAATGATAATAATAATAGTTCAATTTCTGTCGACATGATGATTTACTCTGCTCGCTCGACTGTTGGAACTGTGAAAATAGCAAGAATTGATGTATTCCTCATCTTTGTCAATGTTTAACCTTGGATAATGTAAATTCAAATGTTCAGCACTCGTAGTATTTACAAAAGTGATTAGAAAACAGCAATCTTGAGTGAGTCACACTATCAAGATTCCTTACTGTGAAGTCATGTTCAGGCTCCAAGTATCGCACAATCAGTTTTCCTCGTAACTGAAGGGAGAAGAATGTCCCTAGTAACTGGTAGACTTAAACACAAAAATAATAAACAGAAACCAATGTAAAAACTACTCTTGGGGGATAAATTTGTTTAGGAATGTTTACCCAAAAATTCTCTCCCATAATGAGTAAATTCAGTATTACAAATCGTAGGCACCTTTGAGAACCACAGCAAAGCGATCAATGACATTCCATCTCATAGTTTCTTAGATTTTTGTCTTGGTTTTTCTGGTTTACCTTTTTGTCTTTTTTCTTGTTGATTATTTCATCCTCCATTTTTCAGTACAGTATTTAATATTTTAACTTCATTATTATTGTTTTGTAAGTGTAAACAGTACCGGCATCTCTCTTTTGAGTCATTGCTACAGTATATGCCTGTAGCCTTTCACTTCACTGTAATTACTTCAGAAATATAAACATTCCTGCAGTAAAAATCAAGAAAATATCTCCAAAAGCATCACTTTAATCATTTCCGTCATGTCGGTTCCACCAAGTTCACCAGATTTCTCAAGTGTCGTGATACTGTACTCGGTTACCGGCATTGTATCATGTAGCCTGCAATATCCCCAACTTGGTATGACGTGTAATGCAACCATTCAATAACGTGTGGCAGTACAGTAGTAGAGAGGTTGGTGGGTCAATATTACAGTACTAATGCGTTTCGTGCTTCTGTTATCGAACGTTCGGGTAAAATTGTGGCTGCTGGGTAGAACAGTGTAACGTAGAAGGGGACGGTAGTGCAACTTAGGCCGCCAGGTTGAGGCAGGCGACTTGAGGAGAAATACGAGCCTAGTGGTCAACGAGACACCAGAAACGGCAATAACCAGTCACCCCTGCCACTTGAGATAGTGTTCTACCTGCTGTGTGTGTTGCAGTCAAATTCTTTGTGTTTGTGTGTTTGTTTTTACTAGTTGATGTTGCTTAATGAAGTGTTGTAAATTAAAATTATATGGAATTGATAAATACTAATGTTATTTTGAACTATAAAGAAGATGGATTTGAAATTTTTTATTATATCTCACCATGAATTCTTAGAAAACAAAACATAACTGATTTTGTATATTTAGAAAACAAATATTGAGAAACAAGACTTGGATATAATGGACACTCCTCAATCACATTAAAGAAGCCACTGTCGACAAGCTCAACACCCAGCAGCGGCCAGAAGACTACTTAACATATTTAATACTCATGCATTATGTAAGACATTCCACCAACCTAACCATAGTATAAATCTCAAGGGCTAATGTAGTGGGTTAACATGACGCTGAAATATTTGCTGTTACATTAATGTTTGTTTTTTACTCAGTAGCTCACATCTATTTATTTTTACATCCACGTTGACGCCTTGAAACCTTTGAGACTTTTTTATTGTTATTTTTTATTGTGGCTTTACCTTCATCTCTTCATCCACTCATTTTGAAACTGCTTATCAATATTTCCTCTTTACAGTATGTGACTACAGTTTTATTATTGATCCCTTTGTTTAGAAAACCTGTTGTTATGTTTTCCTTAAGGTATACAGTATGTTCATAAGAGTTTAACATTCTCTCTCTCTCTCTCTCTCTCTCTCATTTTTTCCATCAATACTCCTTAATTTTACTTTTTACTTTTATCTTCTTTGCCTCTGTGCTGTTATCGAGTTGTACCCATTGTAGTATGTACTGTACTGTATACCCCCATAGTATAGGTGTGCATATGGGTACAGTACTCTACAAATTCTGTATTTATTAGTAATTACATAGATACTTTGACTTACAAATCTTGCTAATATTGATTTCCCTTTGATTTACAGAAAAAGATTGATAAGCGAGGGCGCAAACTTGTGGATTATGATAGTCAGCGACACCAGTTGGAGAATCTGCAGAGGGCTGGACGCCGAGATGAATACAAGATCGCACGTGCACGAGATGCTCTGGAAACTGCCCGAGTCACATACGAGGCTCTTAACAAGGTGCTGCACTATGTTGTATGGCTAGCAAAACAGGGGAGATGTACTAGTTCACTTGATATGAGGCGCTCCCATTGATAGTGAGGAATCGAACAATGGTACCCAAATCAGATTCTTGTTTCAACAGGAAGACTGACTCTTTCTCTGTATTTGGTGTCTGTAATATGATTCAACTTGAGTACATTAGTTGTCAGGGCACAGTAGAGTACAGTAATACAGTACATTATGACATCATCTTGGCAAGTGCTATACAAGATCAGAAAAAGGGTTTGGATTTTATTATTATTGTCTTTTTTAATAATTTGTAAAGTACATGACAATACTGTACATAAATCTTGAACAAAATATTTACTTTGTTCTTCTATGTCCAATGATTTATTTGAGTAACGTTATTGACAGTTCTTTCTAAGTTGAGGGATTGAGGAGGAAGTTTATCTTTACTCTTTGTTATAGGAGAAATATTTGTGGTTGAAGAAATAAGAAAATTTAAATTGAAATGCCCTCTGTTTTATGATATTGAATTCATGAAGGAGTAAATGTGGTACTTCTACAGTATACATAGAAGAACTTATATTACTTGGTCAGATGTTGTATTCATAGCTCTTGCTTTTTTCTGGAGGGAAATAATTCGTTTGTACAGATTATATAGCTCTTCCTGGTGGAGTACAGTATGAGGTCTGTCTGTGTTCATTCATTGTATAGTATACCCAAGTTTATTAGCATGATTGAGCAAGATGGATGAAGCAAAGATCAGTGAAATATCACAGGCTTTGGATGCATCAATGGGTCCCAGTACTGTACGGTACTTGATTTAAATTTTCAGGTTATTAGATAGTGTTTTACAGAATATTATTGTTTTCTCACTAGTGGAGGCATATGAGCTTCATGAACACATTTATTAGTGTATGTTGTTTTCTCTATTAAGTCTTAACCATTAATGATCATTCCCCAGGAACTGTATGACGAACTGCCAACACTGTACGACCAGAGGATCCCCAATGTGTCTGCCAGCCTACAGTCTCTCTTTGCTGCAGAAACCACAGTCCTGGCTGAATCTAGCAAGGTACAGTAACACTTATTCAAACTCTTTAATATTTCCTTTCAGTATACAGTATTGATGAATTATAAATACTGTATCAAGTACGAGTGGTTGGTGCTATATACTGTACAGTGTAGTTATCATCTGGAAGTGTTTGATGTATGACTAATACATTTGCTAATTACACCATTATACTGTGTTCTAGAATTGTGTTGTTGTTTCTTTAGGTATGACACCAGGTGTTGGAGGTTAAATTTGCTTACATGATGAATACATTGTTGAAACAATCATTTGCTACATGTTTTACATTAGAGATAATGAATAAATATTTGGTAGAAAGATTAGACATAATGGTAATGTATAGATTTACAGGACTTAATAAAACTCTGAAATGGACTGAAGTAAGATACAGTACAGTACTATATAAGGTAACTTTGTATGTTTAACATCATTGTTGATAGATGGATAAACTCTGATATGGACAAAAGTAACATATGTAACTGTGTCCTTAGTGTTGATAGGAGATGGAGAAATAGAGATTATCACCTGTATACATTTCAGGTTGCCAAGGAATTAGAGGCCATTGCAGATAAGTTAACTAAGGAGTGTGCCAAAGGAACATACAAGGTGCAGCGCGGAGTTGCTCCCCGTCCCCTCTCAGTCGTAGAACCCGCCTCTCCCAAGAACGCCAATTCTCCATCCATGTGAGTAGTGGTATGACTGCTGGCCAGGAAAGGTGTTTATTTTTGCGAGTTTTAATACTAAATGTTTGTGAAGACTTTTGAACTTAGATTTAGGTAACTTAACCTATCTGCATATAGCCAATACCTATACTTGCCTTACGTGCAGTAATAATTAATTCACATGTGTGCTTATCTAAAAGTGCTAATAGTTTCACCAGATTTCATAATAATTCGTTTAGAAATTACCAACAGAAGTAAGATACTATCAGCTGTGTGTGTGAGTTATCTGATATCTTTTTCATTACCATAGATACAGTACTTCATGGATAGACTAGCTATTTTTTGCTCTGAGTGTTGAATAGTACAGTACGTAATATTGGAACTAGTTGTCATGGCCCTTCAAGTTGAGTTCTCAGCCATGCTAGATAAAGTCTTTAACTCATGGCTGATCAATATTCTCCAGATACTTACACAATATCCAGTTATGACATGTTTCTTAGCATACAACTGCTTTTTGATAGTGCAGTGTTTTATTTTTTCTTTCAATTATGTTAAAAATAAATGTACTTTAGATTATTATAGTCACCCATATTTTAGTACTGAGCATAAATAGACGAGTTTTAGTATCAGCCAAATTTTAAGAGTTAACTTTGATGCAGAAATTTGTTTTTGTTCATTGTGTTTTAAGAATTAACATAAATGCAGATGATTTTTAATATCACTCAAGTTATATGATCTGTGAAGGATTTATAACAAGAAAACACAATAGACTGTCTAGTATTAATGCTCCTTCAGATCAGATTAAAATATAAGCAAATGTCATGCGAGAACTTCAAGCGAGATTTGCAATGTATCACTACTGGCCGGTACCTTTGCATTTACAGTACATTACTTCCATTGAGGTCAATCCCACAGTTGCAAGTGAAATGGGCAGCAGTCTTAATAGTGACAAACCTAATGTAAATGAGTAATGAGCAGTTAGGTTAGGTTGAAGCCTATTATGACTGGGGGACCATTTTACCACTCACCATTCATGCAACCACATTTGGCTAATAAACCTCTGAACTCGATACATCATAACATTAATGGAACACCTTTGAACTAAATACATTATAACATTAATGGAACACCTTTGAACTAAATGCATTATAACATTAATGGAACACCTTTGAACTGAATACATTATAACATTAATGGAACACCTTTGAACTAAATATAACATTAATGATCATTGTTTTATTCTTAAATCTGAAATATGGGCCAAAAAAGAGTGCAACTAGTTCTTGGTGGAATGATATCTGCATATTCTTAGCATGTCTGCATTCCCTCGAGTTAATTCTTGGTGTTGACTGTCACATTGTGTTTCTTTTGACTAAATCGCATGTTTTCCCCAATTTCCAGGGTATCACTTTTCTGCACAACTCAATATGGCATAACTATATAACTGAATTGAGAGATCTTTCCTTTGCAGTCTCCTTCATAAAATACTGTAGAGACAAATGCCCCACATTTGGAACTGTTCAAAATTAGTTAAAGTATTTCATCAATGATTGTTAAGTATTTTTGTTTTTTTACATCATTATACAAAATTTACAGCCTCCTGTAAAATGCAGAAAAGTTGTGTGAAGCTTATTAGCAAAAGCTAAACTTGCCAGGGCCAGTCTTAGTTGGAATTTGAAGTACCAGTATCTTATTGTGAACACTAAATATATCGATGAATAGCTTGTCTTGTATTTATTTAGTTGTATAAGTGATGTGGAGAGCTTCTTGCAGCCATTTGTTGAGTGTGGTGCTTGTGAGTGTTGCTTCATTGTTATGCAGTACAGTATTCTTAGATAGGTTGGCCCTTCAAACTGTGCCTATAATTTTTATTTTGTGCTTTTGGCTCTCAGTTGAGACTAATATTTTACTTTTTAGCTGCTTTATGTGTACAGTTGTGGATAAAATGACTTTAGGAAATAGATTTTAAAATCCCAATCCCTCTTACCTACATAACCCAAAGGTACAGTAGAAGCCAGATATTGCCAAAAGTGTCAGGGATATTTTTGTTAGCTGCTGCACAGTTTATTTCCTGTATGTAGTTGTTGTTGTATCTTAAGAAAAGATATAACTGAAACTGGAAATCATTGTAATATGTATTAGATATTATTTCACAGAAGTTAGTGTACTGTACAGTATTGTATGTGATGAACACCACTCTGTGCATGTTAAGGACTGTTGTACAGTAGTGTCTTGTTATGTTCTCTAGCGTACAAAGTGGATTAGTATATTGTCGTTGCAGCTAAAACACTGTATATAAAATTTAAGATTATTATCAGGAAACTGGCTTCATAGTCCAGTGGGGAGCATCCTGAACTGTCAGCTCTTGAGATGTGGGTTAAATCCCAGCCAGGCAGCATTGATGGAGGGTTGTGTTGCTGAGCTGAGTTGGTCATCAGTTATGTCAAGTCCCAGGGCTAAGCTAACTCTTCTTAGCTGGGAGTAGCCACCTCAAATTGCAAAAAGTTAACTTTTTTAGTTATGGATAAAGAACATGATGTGGCTTGAAGTACTTTGTTATGGGAGATACAGTAGTATATTACTGTTGTGATGTTGGTGAAAAGTTTGGTAGATGTTGATATTGTTACTGTTGATATGTTGCAGCTGGTGTATGTAAAGTACATAGGTATATTTATTTTGCATCTTTTATTGTTTAACTGTTTTACATCTTCATAAGTCATGGTAAATCTTGAAGGCTGGGAAGTAAAATTCCAATTTTGACAGTTATGGCCCTGGCTGTGAGTGCATTGAGTGTTCCATGGGAAATTATACACCTCTTATATGTTCCTTCCTTCTTCATGTTTTGTTTTTATCCGTTAAAATGTTTTCCTTCCCTTTCGTCTTTACTTATTTTCATATTGGAGGCATTCTTACATACTTGTCCTTTCCTAATACAGTATTTCGTTTTGTGATTATTCGTCATATTATTGTCATCAGAAATATGTAGCCAATATGATACTAAGACCATCTGCCTTTCATGTATGGTCAGGGTAAAACAGTATCAATTTTAACCCATGACAAGATAATGGGATGACTGAATTATGGCATACAGTGAGTATAGTTTCCCATACATTCATATTTTTATCCAACTGCTAAGCAAGAGGGAGCCTGGAAATGTTGTTGTCAACTTATTATTTCAAAAATATATGAAGCTAAGAGGTCTATCTATGGCACTGTGCTGCCTAATGTGTGTCGCTCAGATGAGTTTGACAATCTCTGTTTCCCCTCCCTAGTTTGTGGAGTTACATCCCACTTTGTGTTCTCTGGTTCCTCGGCATGGCAGCAGAGGTTGACTTGATCCTGGTCTACTTCTATTATGAAATACTCCTCTTACATTTCCTGTCCTGGTGTATATCTTGCACAGTATTCTTGTCCTGTCGTGTATCTAAGTGTTTCCTCTCCTTTTATGTTCCTTTGCCCTATTTCCAAAACGATGGTCTTTTTCCCATGGAACACTTGAAGTAGCGTGCATGTTGTTGGCGATGGTTCGCAGGTGGTACGATGGTGGGGCCGGAGAGGAGGGAGACAACTCTCTCCAGGCTTTGGAGGGGAATGAGGGGACCCTGGAAATAACCACTACAGAGGAAAACCAAGATTCCTCAGCCACATTGGAATACAAGGAATCTTATAAATCCATCCCGGATTCTGACCAGCGCACTCCAACCCCTCCTGCAAGTCCACTCCCTCCTGCAAGTCCACTCCCTCTTGAAACCCCAGCCAACGATGCTGACTCTGCCCTGAGTGCTCCCATTGACTCCGAGCACGATACCAACAAGTAATTTTCCGCTAGATTTCATTGGGTGGCATTTTTAGGGTGCTTTGGCTCGGGTACGGGGAACAGACAAGTAGACCAGGGGCTGCAGTTGGTAGTATCACATCTTTTGTCTAAACCTGACCAGCTGTAATATAGTAATAAGAGAAATACATTATGTATATATATTTTGTTTGATGTGTTGTAAATATTAATTATTAATATGGATAAAAGCTCTGTCATGGATTCTAATGCAGAAAGTTGTAAAATAAAATGTAAAATTGAAATTAAAACTAGAGAAAATGCAGTGTGCAGTTATGGCTATTATAAATTCACCATTCTTACACTGTTAATAAAAAAAATTCTATTGTAGCAATACTTTTTAATAGCTATTGGGGCTTAGCATACTGATATCAAAATTGAGAAGCATTGCACTTACTTGTACAGTACTCGTGTGCCTACAATAATGATAGTTTCTGCTCCCATGACAGGGTATATAGCAGCTGCTTTATTGTTTATTTTCTTGCTAGTCATTTTATTTATAATATTACCTTAAATGACTTTTCCTGCTGCTTAGCTCTTACCAAGAGTTGTACCTGCCAGCTGAGTCTCTCCACACTGCCAGGAGTACAAGGCTGTGTGGCTCACACCATTGTACTCAAGACTATACTTGGTCATTTATCTTGCTTCACCAAGAAGAAAATAGACTTTAGAAAAGAGCAAGGATTGGTATACTAAATAACAACAAAGGGAAGTAGGTTTAGGAAGGAAGGAAACAATGAAAAAAATTGACCTTATAAGGCAGTGTGGAGTTTGATACAGTACAGTATTTTAAAAACCACTAAGTGTTACCATAGTATTAGTACAGTATACTGTAGAAAAAAAATACTGAAACAAGGGGTAATCCTTTCATTTGTTTCAAAATGGTGTTGGTTCTGTTGAAGACAGGGCAGTGAGTTTGTCTTCAATTTGGGTAAGTGAAATAGGGAGGGCAAAGATGTATGTAATGATGGAGGCTCCTCTCTCTCATGACCAGCCTCTCAGGGTAATGAAGCATCTCAGATAAGATTATCTTTAAGTACTTATAGGAGGGTACCAGTACAACATAAGAATGGAGGAAACTGCAGCGGGCCTATTGACCCATACTGGGTAGTCCCATTTACACCCAACCCCTATTGCTTATATATCCATCCAACCTATGTTTGAAGCTATCCATCATATCATATTCGAGTCAATAATGATGTTTGGTAACTTGTTCCACTCATCCACTACTGTTTCCAAACCAATGTTTACCTATTTTGTGCCTAAATCTAAATTTGTCTATTTTAAAACCATTGTTACAAGTTTGCTCCTGGTTGGATAGTTTGAGTACCTTTGTTATGTCCCCTTTGAATATAGACATATTTAAGTGGTTCTGTACTCGGGAACAAATGTGAAGACGTGCTTTTTTCCTTAAGTATCTAAGTTTGACTTGAACCTTGATAATGAAACACCCTTTACCCCACTTTGCTTGGAAATCCCAGTGCCAGATTCTCAAAAGTTTCTTTGGTGAAGTTTTCCCCCTAACTGGTGAGGCAAGAGAACAAGGTTGAAAGGGTCATTTTAACCGAGACACAAAAATGTAGCCCATATGGCATCAAACTTCCACACAGCCTCAACCTTCACTAGATGCATTTCCTCATATGTTGGGGGGTAAATCTTACATACTTAGAACTCATGGAGGATCTGGACTTTGCACTCCTATGCTGGTACCTGGGATCTGTCTCTGGACCACTTTCCTTGGTGTTGGTTGGTTTTATCTTGTGGTTTAAAACATTTATGATTGCTTGCCCTCCCTCTAGATCACCAGCATACACAGTTACTGAAGTTATTATTAAGATATTAACTTTTTCTGACATGCTCTTCATGTCCACTTCATTAATTTGACTCCATTCAGAAGACTACTTGAGCTTTATTTGGCTTATCATTGTGAGATATTAGATAGAAGAAATAGTTTTTATATCATGTGAAGTATGATAACATAGATAACCTTACATTTGTATCACCAGCACTTGATGTCTTTTCTCCTCTTTACAATTTAAATTTGATAAACTTTAACTTTTCTGGTAATACAGTAAAGCAGTAATAATGATCTTTTTTAATTCTAATAAAAGTACAGTATTTCATAACTTTGAAGTTATCTTTGGCAGAGAAAATTAAAAAAAAAAATAACGTACATGATGCCTTCTCTTGTACAGCCGCCCCACCATCTCTGGCCCAGTCACCACCAATAAGGAGGAAACTGGCCGTCCGTATGAAGAGATCGAGTTTGAAGACAAGAAAGTAAACGGCACCGTGTCTTCCCCCGCCCGGACCAACGGTGAAGTTATCGGCACTAAGATCCCCCCAGGTGAGGCCCAAGCACCGATTGTTTAGTGAATGAATTTGTAATTGTGATGAGAGTAAATGTGGATGTTGAGTTTCATTGACGGTACTTTTGTCTTCTACCCATTGGACTACCAGTTGTGTTTGTGTACAGTGAAGATCTAAAGTAGCCATCAAATATATTCTTTTCTCTTCCAGGGTAATGAAAACATACCATTTAATTTCCATTAATATTTTTATTCTTAATGAAGTAGATGGTTGGATCCAGTTAAGTCTTGGAAGTACTGCTGTGATTTATGTCCAGAATTATCAAATGAAAGTCTCTCTGATGGGTTAAGTGTGTCAGTTATTTTGGCCCTTTGCCACTTGTCAGGTAGGAGAGAAATCTTAGAGATATGTCCACCCATGGCTCAGTCTCTGCAGCCATGAATAAGGTAACTACAACAAATAGAAATGGATTGTGATGAAATTTGGGATGTGTGCATAATCCAACAATATCTTGGATAAATTTGATTATCAGTATTTTCCTCCTTGTTTATGGAGTTAGAGCCATACCCAGGTACTATATATATGAAGGTACTTGCACTAGGGTGTTAGGAGAAGCTGAGAAATATGTTAGTAAGATAAAGGAAGTCATGAGAAATATTATATCTTAAAGCTCAAAGGTAGACCTAGAAATAGTCAGCATGTATTTGAAAATGTCTTAGAATAGTTTTATGTAAAAATAGGTAACTTAGCAAAATTTAATATAGAAATGAGGCATTCTAATATATTTTGAAGACCATACAAGAACCATGGATCTCTTTAATCAGGATCAGTAAAATAATTTGTTCGTATTAGGTAACAAAAATTCATTCTGAAAGCATCCACTACAACTTTTGAAGCTAAGTCAGTTGAGGAAATTACTAACATTTATGTGCTACAGTATTTAAAATTCAGACTTTTTGCATAGTACAGTATAGAGTACGGTACTGGAGTTGGTTCTGACACCATACAGGATAAATGTTACAGCGTGTTCAAGTTGTCCTCGTATCTGTCATTTCCAGGGAGCTTGGTAAGGGTCACTCCCCTGCTTCTCTACATGGTACTTTAAAGTATAGTGTGAGGTGATACTGTTAAAAAAAATGTTGCTGTGTGATGAGTGTGCATTAATTAGAAACACCAGTTGGTTGTTTTAACTACTATACTCATAACAGTTGTGAATGACTTACATCCTTGTTCGTTTACCATGGTCAGAGATCATGCGGGACATGACGGTGGAGTGACCCTTCTGCTCTTATTTCTGGTTCAGTTGCCTGTATTCCAGAAATATTTTAAAGTAATTATACAGTAATTCAGTGAAGGGATTAAGCTGAAATTTATTTGCATACAGCGAAACCTTCATATAATGGACTTCTCTCTTATAATCCAGTAGCTGCTTTTCTATACATTTAATGGGCCCTTAATATAATGGACTTTCATCTCTATATAGAACCCTCGATATAGTGGACTTTCCTATGTAGTCCATTGCATAGAGGTTTTACTGTACTTGATTGTAAAAATATTAATTGTTTAGTATTTTTATTGGATTTAAACTATATAATCAATTCACAGTTTCATATTATGTATTTAATCAGTTTTCTTGTGTCGGACATTTAGTATTATTTCTGGAATAGGTTTGTTTTGTTATTTTGTGTACCATATAGTGTGTTCAGGAGGCAGGATGACATTGGCTCTGAAGTTCTTGATGAAACTGATAAAATGGATTAACCTGAGATTAACTTGACTAATTAAACAAAATATCCTCTGTGTATATGCAGAAAGCTGTAATAAAAAGGTGGAATATTTGTTCAGGTGATGGGAGATATTATCATAGAGTTCATACTTACTTATTAATAGAACCAACCACGGATGATCCTCCTGTATCCCTGCATTGTGGAAAATGGCCGTAAAACAATAGTGATGGTTCCATGTCGTTGCTGGGGTGACGAATGAAGCCACAGGGGCAAACAACTGGGTTATGGGTCTGGTTATAGGAGGGGGACACCATCACTGCACTTGGTAGGACAGTTAAGAAAGAGTAATTCACTGGATGAGAGTTTGTCTGTGTTGCTCTTCATTCTGGCCATCACAATCCATAACAGGAAAGGCCTTACAAGAAAAAGGGGGAGAATTAATTACCTTGACATATTTGTATTGTTGGTTTTTATACTTCACGAAAATATTACACTCAATTTTTGGAAAACATCAATTTACAGGAAATGAATTGTACAGAAAAATAAGAAAGATGTAGTTTATTTATTTGCTTAATTTGTATGTCAATGGACTTAGTATTGTTGTGTTTACTGAAGCACTTTACTAGGTAGACTGTCTTGTTAGATTTAGTGGACTAGACTTTGCTTACAGTTTAGGAAAATGTTTGCTGAATATCTTTTACATATTGATTTGGCTGACTTACATAAGGCAAGACTTTTCCTTGTGATAAGAAATATCAACTTGGGGAAAAAAGTGAGGAAGCATTAAATGATAAAGAGTAAAGGTAAATAGTAAAATATAGTAAGAATGGAGATCATAGAGGGGACATAAAATCACATATTTTAAAACAAACATGGATGCAAGTGTGAAATAACATTTGTTCATTATCATGTAGATTTTTTCTTTTTATCAGCACTGATTTATTCATTGTGATAAAATGGAAATTTATGAAGAATAGGAGGAAACTTGAGGTAGTGTGGCAGATGGTTACACAATGCCATCACAAAAGCATCAGCAGAACAGAATATAACAGAAATAAGTGTGGCCATATATATTACTCACCTTTATGGTGTTGAGTTGCGATCAAATTACAAACACTTGACGCTGTTATTACCACTGCCGATGTTGTCGTCATTGGCTATAATGTGTGTTGTGTTTCATAATGCTCACAGCTAGGATGGCAGAGATGAAATAGCTTTGTGTGGAGTGAAACAAAATAGCAGAATAACAGTTAGTGGTAGTGTGTATGAATGGTTGAAGGACATAAGTGGAAAATGAAACCATTTCAGTTTTTCCCACAGCAGTGCTTTCATGACTGACTCAGAACAAACATCTCTGATCATGAACTAGAAAAAAGACCTTCAAAGCTTTATTTATTTCTGGTTCCTTAAATCAGTTTAGTATCACTTGATAATATTGTAATTTATTAAGTAAAAAGAAATCCATCATTGGTTATCTTTAAAAAGTTAATACTGTACATCTACACTTCATTTGATCAGTTAACAGAAAATAGGACTACCCCATATACTGTAGTAGATCTCTCTATCAACAAGAGTGTTTCCCCTTATAAATGGTAAAGTATTAGTTGACATAAGGCTCAGTCTAAAGAAGTTTATACAGTACCTATTTTGGAGAAGAGTAAAATACCTGTCTGTATTGGTGAGCAGGTAAGGTAGCTTCATAAGGAGGTCCATTGTCCGTGTAATTTTTAATATTTGAGTTATGTGTGAATGCAGCTCCCAAAGTTATTAACTAAACACTTAAACTGACTATATTCTAATCAAAAGTAAACCATTAATAATTTGTTTTGTCTGATTTTTGTCCTTTTGTGGCATACATGAGTTTTTACTTGAAGTTATGTCATTAAAAAAGAGATAAGGTTTTTGATGAATATTCTCAGTTTATTGTTGACAGATGAATGAATGAATGTGATATAAATGCATTATGGCCTTGTTGTGTATTGGTTGCCAAGATACTAATATCTTCTGTTTAGGCTTCAAAATACTTTATAGTGTGCTGACTAATTACCAGTGTATATTTTAAAGATTTATTTGAATTACAAAATTACGTTGCTTTAAAAATTAATTGCTTTATGATGGCATTTCTGGGTTTGCAGTAGCCAATTTATGTTCATTGTGTTTTGCATACTGCCTACAGTTTAATATGCTTTATAACTGATTTTCCTAGAAAGTTGTTGCTTAGCCATTACTGGTGATGAGACACTGAAAGATTAACTTGTAAGGATTGTCTAACCTTGTATTAATTATTGGGTTTGGAGAAGCTCATGTGCACAGAACATAGACCTTTCTTTCATTCTTCTCTCTCAGTGTAATCTGTGGTTTAATCTATCCTGTAGGCTGTTCATATGTGCTGTGTGTGCCTCCTGTCCAACACGAGCTGTGCTAAGTGTCCATATTGGGAGCTGAGTTTGTAAATTTTGCTCTTGTCTTTCTAGTAGACGGCTCGTGTGTTTATACTAAGAGCTTAATTCATAAGTGGATGGTTAAATTGCTTTTGTTTTTCTGATAAATGACTCGTGTGCGCAGTGTAGTGTACCCATCCTTCCTGATATCAGCTGTGCATATCCCATCACCCAATCATTAACCTTTTACTAATAATGTAGGTCCTTTAAGCTTGTGATGATAACCACTTAGTTGCTGTGAATCATAAGCTTGTATTACACCAGTTTGTTTATTAGTTCATGATAGATCATTGTTGTGTCTGTATTGTGTTCATTATGATTCAAAATTGCATGATCAAGTATTGATCTGACAGTCAAATGACTTGTTAATGTAAATTCTACATTCAATATTTCAAAAATTTTGAAATGTGCTTAAGCCTGTACCTCCTAATTTTGTGACGTGAATATTTTCTAAGAACTTTTATCAATACAGTAGTACAACAGTTAAGTAATATAGACTTATATGAAGTAAGATCTATAGTTCAGTTGATAGTGCTTTAGCCTCCTGACCCTGACCTACAGGTTCAATCCTATGACAAGGCAGGTTGATGGGGTGTTGTTCATCTATGTTTGGTGCTGGGTTGGCCACTAGGCATGGCAGTAATAGTAACCCTTCTTGTTTGGGGATTGTCAAACCAATAATTGTGGGAAACGGCTTAAAAAAATTTAACTATGGCTTTAGTTTGATTCACTCTCAGTTCCAGTAATTGATTAAATGATGCTGAAGTGAAAAAAACCTGTTTTATATCAATAATATATCAAAAGACAAGGAATGTGATTTGTTTACAAGTAAGTGAGCAGGGAAGAAGTTGAACAGTTATTTGGCTGCCCTGGACAAGTTGAATTTTGATAGCTACATTGTTACTGGTACTGTACAATACATCCTTGGTGGTGTAGTGTGTTACAAAAGTGGGAAGAAAGTTCTCTATCTTGAAATATTGTTGACATTATTTCTTTTGATGGATTGATAACTAATTGATAGATAAGTACAATAGAAGGTTTATAAATGACAAAGAGGATAGAGGTATTAGTGAGGAAGGTTCAGCACAAATAAATTAAGATAAATACTGGTGATGTCACAATCGTGTCCCCTGCTACTATACTGTACTAGCTGTGAGTCTAGAATTAAACCATTGATATTAATAAATGCTCACAAAAGTGTTACAACATACATTAACACACACACAACAAATGGCAGCTTTTTAAATAATATATATGGCTTTGTATTAAAATTCTTTGGCATTTAATTTCTTGACAAATGACTTAAATGCAATTTGAACGTTGGTCGGTATGTTGTGAGTATAGTAGTGTAGTACAGTATGTTGTGAGTATAGTGTAGTACAGTATGTTGTGAGTATAGTGTAGTACAGTATGTTGTGAGTATAGTGTAGTACAGTATGTTGTGAGTATAGTGCAGTACAGTATGTTGTGAGTATAGTGTAGTACAGTATGTTGTGAGTATAGTGCAGTACAGTATGTTGTGAGTATAGTGCAGTACAGTATGTTGTGAGAATAGTGTAGTACAGTATGTTGTGAGTATAGTGTAATACAGTACATTGTGAGTATAGTGTAGTATAGTATGTTGTGAGTATAGTGTAGTATAGTATGTTGTGAGTATAGTGCAGTAGTATAGTTTGAAATAGTGTAGTAGTATGTTGTGAGTATAGTGTAGTACAGTACAGTATATGTAATTTATATGTGTACATGTGCTTATTGCTTCCTGCTTATGTAAAGGCTAACACAGTTGTTTGGACAGTATGTTTTGTACATCAGTGGATAGTGTAGTCAGAACAATTGCATCTATTGTATGAAAATGACTTGGTGTTTGAATGGAAGTTCTGCTCCCGACAGTTTTTTATTACGTAAATTATGACCTTGAAATTGATGAATGAATTTTCTTAAGGTAATGCAAAGTACAGGAGATTATTCTTTGGTCAAATGGTGTATTTTTTTTTATTATTGTGATGATAGGATAATAAAATTAACTAGGCTTACTACATTTATGCTGGGCTTACACTGTCAGATGATAGACAATGATGATAGGAACCAAATTAAATTGATCAGTGCAATAGTTTACTACCACTTACGAAGATTATGAGGGACCAAACAAGAATATCTAAGAACAGCTCAGTATTAAAAATGTGCCATATGCCCAAGTTACCTCCATATGGGATGATAACCAGTTCAGCTCATGGAAGGGCAGACCAGCATTTTAGCTTAAGGTCTGCATAGGTAACGTTCCTACAAATCTTTAAAAAAAAAAAAAAGATTGTGGAATACTTACAGCTGTGATTACCAACACAGTCTTTTATGGGCAATTCATTGATTTATCTGTGTACATTACTGAGGTTCTGATATATAGCAATTCATTCTAATATTTATTTTTTGTAACTTTGCTAGTGAATTATTATATGGTGTTCTAAAATGTCAATGGTGCAGCAGATCTAGAAATTCACGATAACATTAAGACGGCGAACAGGAAAGCACACAACACGTCAACACATTAGACTCGAGGAGGGTGTGTGTTTCATAAGGACGCCAGATCAGATCAGAGGTTGACAATGGCCAAAGCTACTGTGAGCATTTCTAATATGGTTTTAGTCATGTAAGCTCCGGCGGCACAGGAAGGCATAACCCTGATATAAAAGGATTCATCAGTGACGTAAGTGGTAGTTTCTGGTAGATGGAAAAAGGATGTGTTAGTTTGGTAGGAAGTTAAAGGTGTACTAGTATGTGTGTGTGAATAAGATATATTATAATAGTGTGACTTGGGACTCCATCATTAATTAAATAACTTGAGGGTTTTTTATTGAGATTGTATAGCCTGACTCACATTTATGTCATGGAAATTAGAAAGATAGAATTACCATAATAGAAAGATGGTAGTTTGAAAATATAGACTCTACCTGGAAATATTTTCTTTAATAATATTTGTTTATAATCCACCTCCTAATATTTTACATCAGTTGTGCTTAGTTTTCAGATACATTGTCCAGTGTAAAGATCTATAAGTTGTTGATAAAGTACAGGTATTGATACAAGTTACTGCATCATGTTATATTATACTGTATATAGAATAACAGTCAGTGTAAAATAACTCGGTCATTCAGTATAGTTCCATCTAAAAAATAAGAAACAATGAATATAATGTTTCAATCTTTATCATAAATGCATGTTTGCTCCTGAACTTTTAGCCTCAGTTTTATGACAAACCAACACTCAACACCCAATAACCAACACATAACACCCAACACTTAACACACAACACCTGACACCCAACACTCAACACACAACACCTAACACACAACACCTAACACCCAACACTTAACACACAACACCTAACACCCAACACCTAACACCCAACACTCACCCAAAAACAAAAAACACTTCAGTACCAGTGTTTTAGTTTATACTGTAGTAAGGAAGAGGTTGTGAAAAAGTTTACTACACTTGAACAATTTACTTCATAAAAATTCAGCAGGTGGTTACTCATTAATTTGTCTTCATTACTTTTACCGTAAATTAAAATATAAAAATCCGTATGACTATATAACAACATTACAGATGAACTAGGGACACATTTCATCATGCACTGTGTAAATATCATGGATTGTTCAGCATGTTTTCAAGGTCTTATTAAAAAGTTTCAGTGCACACATCTTGCAACAGGATTACTATAACCTAAACTATTCTTGCCATTAGCTATGATACTTTTAACCTATAATTTGTATATGTATGCCTCTCTCTCTCTCTTTTTTGCTTTTTTTAGTTTGTATACTAAATTAATATTGCACCTGGCCAATATACTAATGATGCTTGTTTATCATACTAATGAATAAATTTCTATCAATCATTAAAGTAAACATATTTGTACACCAGAATGCCACAGGGCCCTTAAATTATCCCAGCAAATCATATTTTTTTTATACTAATTATCACATTTTCAAGTTAAGGTTTAGTTTGCAGAATTAGTTATCGATCAGAGTACTGTACGCTAAGATTAGATGGCGTCTGTCGTGGTGAAATGCATTTGTTTCTGCTGCTTTTAAAGTCCTTCCTAACCTCTTGTTCAGAGTTGGCTGGTATGGATGTTTTAATGCAATATGTCATCCCTTGTCCAGCTTGTTCACTCTAGAAAAGTTGTTGCTGAAAGAATGAGTAAACTTTATTTTTCATTAATTTCGTTTATAGACACTTACATCGCTCTCACTTTAAAACTTAAAGAAAATTCCTACATTAGACCCGAGATTTACACTGTGGTTCACACCTAGAAAACTTTGTGTAGTTTGAGTTTGTGTAATTGGAAGTTAACAAGTTTTGCTTTCCTAGGCTGTTCATCATACTTTTTACAAGTTAGATTAACACTTTTTTCTGGGGTACTCACTCAGGTTGGTGGGAAAATGGTGATAGTAACCATCACAACTCTGTGGCAGATATTGAGTGTGGGAAGATATTAATTTATTATTCTAAGAACACTTGGCAGGAATTATTGTAAATTATTTTACAACAAAATTCAAACATAAAAATAAAAAAGGTCTTAATGTATTTGGTGTGTTATGGCTAACTTATGTAAATTGAGGGTCTTTGTATATATATTTTTATGCTCTGTAATTGATTTGGAAAGTTTAATTGGCAGCTGTTTGTTATGAAAACCCATTTGATTCAATAATTTTTTTGTGTATATAAATGTTCAGTATATATATTTGTAAGAGGTGTAGTGGCTTAGTATGGTTTACTTCTATAACTAACAAAATATTCCTCTACCTATGCCACGTGACTGACTTCTGGTGCATCATGAGCTTGTCTATCCCAAACCAACATAACATACTAATGTGTGATGGGTGTCAGGCTTGGGGCATAGCAGGCTGGCAGAAAGGGGGGAGGACAGCTTTGAGCCTGTTGAGGCTGGGAGTGCAAATGGTAATGCAGCCATTGGCAATCTTGGCCTCTTCAATTCGTCCCCTGGCAATCGGGACCCTAGCAATATGGCTCCCTCTGTCTCCCCAGCCACTGGGTCGGCGCTCAGTAATGGCCCTTCCTTCACGTCCCCCTTGGCTGACCTGGACAATAAGGTGGAGGAGATCTATGACATCCCTGTGGGTAAGTGACGACAAGATCAAATCAGGTCACGGGCCAAACATCACTCCGTATTTGCAATGAAATCACCAATTTTGGGCTCTCGACTCTAGTCAGACTTCACTGTTTAGCGGCTCACAATTGGTGGTGGTGTCATGCAGTAGGTGCCAGACCATGGTGGTATTTTGCTTGCTTGTTGTAGAAACTGGTAGTCTGCGGTAAGGTTGGTTCTTTTGTAGTCCGTAGCTCAAGGATCTTGTGCGGTTGTCATGCACATCTGGTGTTAACATGTTACCTTAAAAATTTTTGGTAGTGCATTGTGCATGGCTTTTGTTGAGAATGTTTGTCTTTTAATATTATTGATGTTTTAGTGAGAAACTTCTTTGTGCTTGATTTGTAGACTTGCCTTGTCATTTTATAGATGGACAATGCTGGACATGTCATTTAATGTCACCAGTTTCCCATGGCACTGTTTGTGTATATACAGTACTGTACAGCACTTATCTTTGGTATAGTTTAGCTAAGTGTGATATATGCAAGTTATTGAAAGAACTGTTCTTTCTGTAGAGATTTTCTAGTTTATGTATTACAGTATATTGTTAATGTTTATTTGTGTGTTAAAAATGTTTTGATAAAACATTCTATTGTTATTTCCTTCCACTTTTGTTTTAAGTTGTTGTTAGTTTCACTGTGGAAGGATGCGACTTATTTTAATATTCATGTTGAGAACTGAGTCATGAACACGTGCGAGACGTCTTGGCTAGGAGACAATCAGTTACCTAATACTGTACAGGTGCCATTGCTGGATCACAATAAGTTACCTCTATAAAAGATAGTACCTATATTGTATTGTATCAAGAAATATTCACTGATAGAAAGTCAAGACCTCAAGCATACAGAGTATTAATGATAAAATGATTATACTGTTGTGTATATCAAACTACTGTACATGTTTCTGTTAATGGAAACAAATCACAAAAAGTGCCAGAGATATCCCAAGAGAAAAATTAATTACAGTTGTTCCAAGTAGTAGTTGTTGTTTGCTAATTATATTTTTGGGCAAGATGGATATGATGTTGATGATGGGGTGACATTGGAAACAACATGGATAAACTAGATGGGTGTCTTAGGGTTATATTATGGGAGGGAAACACCACAGAACAACACCTCTGGTAAGGCAGTGAGAGATGACACATGGGGAGAGAGATTGTATTGCACTTGATTGTGGTCATTGTGCACTTAAGCAGAAAATTGGTTATAAAGGTGAAGAATTTTTTTTTTTAAACTTTGGTATTGTGTTTTCTTGGCGAAATTTAGATGTCATAACAAGGACAATATTCTACAAGTTGTCATTCATTTTATTCTTTGTTTAAAATAAAATACAGTGGTATCATGTAGGCAGTGGTATAGGGTAATGGTGAAATTGTCTGCGGAAGTTAAAAGATAATATGACCAGTTGTTCAGTTGAGGGTTTTTGTACTATACCAAACTTATGGTAATTATTGTACAGTATTAACTTCTCCATTAGACACTTCCTAAAACTTGTGTGTGTGTGTTACTAACCAGACTCAACTGAATAATGAGGTAAATTTGTGTGTTAATTATGACCTACTAATGGACAAGTGACCCATAATGATCCCTTTTTTATATAAATAGTTTTTGTTGATGGCTTTACTGTGTTATTATCATGTGACTGTTCCTTCCAGCTTCCATGTGAGGTGTGTGCAGTGATCCCTTCATCTTCTCTCTCTTCCCCCTCACAGAAAATCTATAATGCATCCGGTTGTTTCCAGGATATTTACTGCAGGGCATTTGGAAGACCTCTAATACCATATGATGTACATGTTTGGCTGCACCATTCATGTGTTTGGCTGCACCATTCATGTGTTTGGCTGCACCAGTCACATGTTTGTATTATCCATGAAATGTTGTGGCCAGCAGATCATGTACATCATAATCCATCACTAGCTTTATGAATAATTCCTTTCAAGTTTCTCTCTAAATAAACCCAGTCGTTCTTGTGAACATATTCCACCGTTCAGTAACTTTTATCGTTCTTGTTTGTCTGTTAATGCATTCTAATATTTCACCTGCTTTATTGACTAATATTTTGTTTAAGATGGAGGACTACAGCCATCTGCATTGACAGGTGCGACCACGGAAGGGCTACCGCAAGGTGTGCTATACCGTGTGCGCGCAACCTACAAGTACACGCGTGAGGACGTTGATGAAATCAGCTTCGAAGTCGGTGACACCATCCAGGTGGTGGAGTACGACGATCCTGAGGAACAGGTCAGAGACAACAGGTTTTAAAACAGGGTTTGGGATTGGATTTACAGTAACCTTTTTAATCTAAAGTCCAGACCTAAGCAGGTGCAGTATGTTATATTAGGAGAATGTGAGGTTACTGTTAGATGGTTTACCAGCTGAACTTCTTACCATTATTACTTGATAGCTACAAGGTAATAGTAATTACCTTGAATGTACTTAAGGAAAGGCAATTTGATTTTAACATCTTGATTCAAATTCCCTGAAATATAGAAACAACTAGATTGTTTTAATTGACTACACTTGAGGTCTGTTGTAGAGGTTATGAAATAGATAAAATCCTCAGGTGAAAAGAGTTAAAGAATTATTTTATATTCACAGGAGGAGGGGTGGCTTACCGGGGTCAAGGAGGGGACCACGGAGAGGGGACTCTTCCCCGCCAACTTCACCCGTCCCATCTAAGCTTCCCTTGTTCTCCTTGAAGTACTTATGAGATAAAAAAACAAAACAAAATATCTTCGTCGAGAATCCCACTTGAGGTCAACTTGTCTCGAGATTTACCGACGACAAAGGACAGCAAAGTTTGAAGTTGGCTTTGGTTAGCAGCTAAAGGCTGATTCATCTGCAAGTGTTGTAGGATCAAGGAAGCTGATGTATCATAGCTGTAAGGATAACACGAACTCAAATACAAGTCATCTTTGATAGTAACAACAACGTATATCTCCACATGATTGTCAGATAACCCTACCATGAATCTGTATGCCGTTCAGTGACCTTAACGTTTTATTGTGTTGTGAGATTTTTACCCTTTATATCCAAGTCATTTATTCGACAGTGTAGTGTAAATTATCGTCGTAAGTTTTGTAGATATTAATGCTATTCAAGTATTCTACTACAATAGTAATTGCTCATGTGAATGTTATAAATGAAATAGACTCATCTGATTAAGAGAAGAAACCCTGTTCATTGTACTAAGGTGCAGTGGAGGCTGTGTGACCATATTGTGCTGTTAGAAAGTTATAACCTTCCAACATCTCTCTGTACTTGTGTTTAGATTTTTTTTTCATATTTTGATTATTAAGGCAGGTTAACTGATTAATGATGAACCCAAAATAAGCAGCTAATTTTGTTTATTATAACACAAAGATCCAACAGGTAGCTTGGGTTGACTGTGATGAACAGAGAGTTTCCATCACGAAAGTGTGCATGAACTTCCATTAACGACCATTGCTTCTTTTATTTATTGATTTGATTAGTTATTAAGGTATTTGTTGTGTTTGTGAATGTTTATCATTTGATCTGATATATAAATACTCTTTTAATTAGCCTATGTAGTATTGTTGGCAACTGGAAAGTATATTGGTATAAAGATTTGTTTTTTAATTGCCACGTGATAGTTTACCACGTTGGTACAATTTTGTGATTAACAGAAAATGGGGGAGTGTGTGTGTTCCCCTGGCTTCTGGCCACCTTGTACCAGAATAGGAAAAGGCTTGCAAGAGTTGAGAAAAAGATTATTTAGCAATATAACCGTGTAATCATTGAGCTAGTGTGTGTAGGCAGACCTATGCAATTCGAACACAACTTTGTGTCAACAATTTTCACCAGTCTGAAGTCACATAGTCAGATTGTGCCCAGAGTTAGCAAACACTCAAAAATGCTCTCAGTTTATGTAATATGGTACTGTTTAATGGATAATGATAAGTTATTTAACTTTCATTTGACTGTACAGTATTATAAGATGTCCCCAAATTACCAAACATGCTATCTAGTTGCTGCAATATTTCTTTATATTCAACTGAGATTCATAGTTTATTGATCACTTCATCTCTCACACCACAGTTTTGCTGGATTGTAACATTGGATTAGTACAGTATGTGTAAATACTTGTGGCTATGAAGAGACCTCTGTAAATAGTTTCCAGTTGTAAATAAAAAACATGAGATGGAGTATATCATATGTAAAGATGAAGGTCTCTTAAGTATGTATATAATATGTATTGGAAGATCTGATTACTCTTGTTTACTCTCAAATATTGACTCTGAAGGCAGAATGCTCCCAGGCTGCTTAGGAAGTAGATCATGCTCTAAATCAGTAGATGTATTATACACTATCCAGATAAACTTTTGTATGAAAAGAATTTCCAGAATAGGACAGACAATGTGCCATGAACCCACAGAGGTACTTAATTAGTTAGTAATAATGTTGTAAGTGTATGTAGTATGTGTTGGCCTGCTCACTTCAACAGGTGTTACCCATATGACACAATATTGCTCACCCTTCATGCCCTTCCTATGTTTTAAATGAGCTTTAGGTTACTTGAATAAGTTCTTCCTGTCATGAATGTTCCAATTATGAAAGTTTTGTGACTCAAAATAAGGTGCCTTTTATTGAATACAGGGCTTGTGCCTTAGCTGGATAATTTTGTAAGGAAGTTTTACTAATGAATGATGCCATGCTGTATGGCTCTTAGTCTCATTCTCAGCGACAGTAAATTTGCAGAGTAATTAGATATTTTAAAATTCTAACATCTACCATCCATTGAAGCACTTGCAGTCAAGTTTCTCTGTGAGAGATAAAATGACTGTTGGAGAACCTTAGTAGGATAAACTCACTTTGAGGGGACACATGAGATTGTGTGGTTTACAGTCTGCCATAATAGGCTATGCAGTTCTGTGCCTTGTTTTAGAGTCACAGGTTTGGGATAAATTTGTTTTACCTCACCTTAGACCAAGGAGTCTGGAGAAAATCCTGCTGTAGTCAAGATTTGGGGCAAAGCCTGTGACCTGTAGGAGGACAGAAGCTACATATGTCAGACATCCAGCAGTATCAGTAACGGCTCTTGCCTCTTATAACTGTCTTGGCCCGGACTCGGGACACAACAACTGAGCACGTACTCTTATAATTAAATACTTATATTAACATCAGTGCTAATAAATAAAATACAGAGCCCAGGTATGTAAATTTTATTAACCTCTTGAATCAGAGTTTCTCTATGATGATTGAAAAAAAGCTTGAAAGGAAAAAATATTTTAAAGCTTGAAAGGAAAAGCCTTAAAACTTTAAGCTTAATATATTAAGCTTAATAAATTAAGTTTAATACATCAAGCTTTTAGTAATAAAAAGCTTAAAGCTTGATAAATTAAGCTTAATGCATTAAGCTTAATACATTAAACCTAATTAAGTTTAAAAATTACGTTTAAGCTTAAAAAATAGCTTAAAACTAAGCTTAAAGTAAAAATAAGCCTAGTTTAAATTTTAAGCTTAAATCTTAAAAATTTTAGTTTAAAAACAAGCTTAAATATTAAAGCTTAATTTAGTTAAGCTTAAAGCTCATGTTTAAGCTCAGAAAAAATAAGAAAAGCTTAGAGTTTGGACGTAAAGCCGTCATGGTTCGAATGAAATTTAAAAAAAGAATCGGAATATTGATAAAGTAAATGAAAAATAGATAATGAAGCAGTGGTTGGAAGGAATCTTAAGGAAACAAAGTTTGATAAAAAGGGTAGAATAGGAAAATCGAGAATATTGATTCAGGAGTTGGAAAGAACGTAGAAAAGTCTAGTATTTAAAAAGGATTGTGGGAAAATCTTTAAAAAAATAAGGATATTGAAATAAGGGGTTGGAAAAATAAAGTTGTCCTAGTAGAGTCTCCCCCTGATCGCTAGCACATCAGCTAATACCCTTGACTGAGGTCCCCACGTTGCCAAAGCGTATAGGGATGACAGCTCGTCAGGTTTTGATCAGGGAGGGGGCGACCTCGACGTGGTTCCATTCCTCACTGGCCATCAGCGTCCTAACACTGACGGGGAACCACGAAGGGCGGCAGAGCACACCGAGATGCCATTTCTTGAGGTCCCTGGCCAAGGACCTCCTAGCAACCAGGGCTAGAGCATCTCCGTAGAGTCCCGGTGTGATGCCCACCCACGAACTAAACGTTAAGGGCACCAGTACCTTAGTTACCTTGGTGGTGGAGGTGGTGTGTCTAACGATGAGCCGACGATGAATATATATACATAATATACATGCAAAAAATACTGACACCAAACACACACACACACACCCACAACACCCTGTGATCGTCCAGATGTACAACACCACAGCTGCATCAGGGAGGCCCACAACACACTGTGATCGTCCAGCTGTACAACACCGCAGCTGCATCAGGACACAAGTTAACCAGTTGGTCACCACGTGTTTCTTCCTGTTGTATAGAGTGATTTCATCCCTTGATTGTTTTTACTATTTATCTCTCTCACACACACTACCGCTCAACATCTCCCTCCCTCCCTCCCTAGCTCCACACCATACACCCTCACTCTCTCCCAGCCTCCCTTCCTCGGTCAACAATACCCTCCCTTCCAACACCGACAAAACCCACTCTTCCTAGACCAACAATACCCTCCCTTCCTACACCAACAATACCCTCCCTTCCTACACCAACAATACCCTCCCTTCCAACACCAACAATACCCTCCCTTCCTACACCAACAATACCCTCCCTTCCTACACCAACAATACCCTCCCTTCCAACACCAACAATACCCTCCCTTCCAACACCAACAATACCCTCCCTTAATTGAAATTTCCCATTGTTTACGACTCTAAATTTTCACACACACACACACACACACACTAAAACCATCATTTTCACCCTTTTTTTGCGTAACTTAACCTAACATTTTTCTTTCTTTTTTAATTCCTCGCTCTACTTGTAAGAGGCCAGACGCCACTACCTCCACCTATACACCTATTTATCTTGATAATATCCTTCTCAGTGTGTTTTGTGCGCTAATAATCTCTTTCTCCTTCTCTCTGTTCCCTTTTACCTATAATTTTATCCGTAGTCCGTATTTCTCGCTAACAAAACCCGTAAACTGCCCGCCATATACCCTTACCGTATTCTCTGCTTCTAATTACACTCAATTCGATCCAGAGTGAAACAGCCTCTAACCAACCGAACCACAATGTTTGAACCAACGAACCCAAAGGAGTGTGTTAGGAGGCGCCAGGCTCTTTTTCATAGGCCTTCTGTGTTAATATTTACGTGAAAGACAGTGGGTATACTTGTTATGCCGCCCAATAACAACAACAACAAGGCAAAGTTATGAATAAGTTTTCAAACAAAATGATCACGAGTTTTGGACGTCTCCGAAATGTTGATAATGGAGGCAAAACCCTTGAAACATACACACATTTTGTTGTGAAATTAGCATTGGTATGATGTTTAATGTGGAGTATCAACCTATAATGCATAAGACTCAGGAAAATATAATATTACATTGTCTTATGATACATTAAGAGACGAATACAGCGTCACGAAGCCATATTGACGCTTCCGAACTCAGCTGTCAACACTGCACGACGCTGGTGGCGACATCTTCCGGAAGAAAAAGTTACTAATGAGATTTAACTACGGTGATCCTTCCAGTTATTATCATTATCATTAACCCTGGTGCTTTAACTTGAATTAATTAAGGCTGAGCAAGCCAAGTTGTTACAAAAAGGTTACTTATTAAACTAAAAACTACAACATTTCTTGGTCTACCTGAACTACTCCAAGGTGGATGGTAATTACCGAATCGTCAATATGATTGTTAAGGTCTTGCCTCTCACTACTGCTCTCAGGATTTGATTCCCACTTGGGTCTGATGTAATGTAACGTGGCAGGTGGCTCCAAGAACCCAAGTCTCTCCTGTACTAACGTTTAAAGATAAGATAGCGAGAGCCGTGGCCTAAGCAACAGCCAGGATCTAGCCATAAACAACAAGGGAACTGTTATCAGAATAATGCCTCACTGTACACACACACACACACGACCAAAAAGTGTCTTCCTTGGGTCCGATGATTTTCACAATGATCAATACGACTCGTGGTGTCTCAGGAGAGTTGTCAAAATCATTCGTTCGTGGGATTGATATTGAAACAGTTTATTGGGCCAGAAAAATACAAACAAGAGTGGACAATACGAACAACATTGAGGTGGCAGAATCAAGTGAGCATTCTTGTAGGCACCTGATATATACTGTACATTTATCTTAAGGAATTATTATATAATATTTAGTATCATCTGGATGTTATATTATTTCACGTAAAATGTGGAAAGGTAATTTTTGGCCCTGTGTATATAGACATTGTAGGTACACAAACAATGCAGGTATACTAACAATAAACATAGACAGTGTAAGTGTACATACATAATACATTGTGGTATAAGTATATCTGAAAGAAGGTAGTGTTTTGATAAGAATAATAAGAACACGTCACTGAAAACCTTTAGATAATGATTTAGTCTCTGCCTGCCAGCCACACGTACCATGTTCAGTGTTGGCAATCTTGTTTTGAACATTGTGCAGCTTGGCAGATTATCATGATGAATAGGTATAGTCCAACACACACACACACACGTCCCCGCCACACTGAATGGTCCCGTCCTTGACATCACACTAGTACTGTACTCAAGTGGTGGCTCTCTGATACACCCACCGCTTAAGGTCACATCTTAGCCTGCAATATGAGAAACCAGGTAGTGAGTTTACCTTCGCCAACACTCTAACCTAACCTAAAAGAGTCTTAAATATTAATCAACTTTTCACAAAATATTCTGAGCTTCTTCTCTATTTCATGAGTGGCCAAGGGAGGTCATGAGTGGCTAGGGAAGGTCATAAGTGGCCAGTAGAAATCATGAGTGGCTAGGGAAGGTCATGAGTGGCTAGGGAAGGTCATGAGTGGCTAGGGAAGGTCATGAGTGGCTAGGGAAGGTCATGAGTGACTAGGGAAGGTCATGAGTGGCCAGGGGAGGTCATCAATGGCCAGGAGAAATCATGAGTGGCCAGGGGAGGTCATGAATGGTCAGAGAAGGTCATGATACGTTAAGTTAGGTCAAGTTAAATTTTAAGTTACCTAAGTTAGGTTAGGTTACTCACCACACCTTCCCCGACTCTTCTGGTTTAAGGTAGGATTACGACATTTGGCCATCCTCAGCAGGCACTCATTATTGTAAGTCCTGCCGTCACTACCACAGACAGGACCCAGCAGAAGGGGACACACGCGGGGACAGGGATCAGGTCTCATGTTTTGAAGCCTTGGACCAGTGATTTTGGGTCTCCTCTGTCCTCTCCCTGAATTATCTGTCGGGTTACTGTTACTTATGATGTCTCCCCCACGTGTTGCGTCGCCTAGAGAGTGATTATTGGAACTCATAAATAAAAGTGTAAGTGAAATGAGAGTACTGTATATAGATATAAACAGCGCCAATATTACAAAGTATACATAAACTAGAAAGGAGAGAGAGAGGGAGAGAGAGAGACTGTGTATATGTGTGTGTGTGGTTGTAACAATGTCATGTTTTTTTAGAGCATTCCTACCAGATTGTAAGTACCTGGACATACGGAGGTAGGCAGTAAGGTAGATACATAATAAGGTAGATAGGTAGAGAGGTACACAATTGGTAGAAAGATAGGTAAGGAGGTACAATAGGTAGGGAACGCACCAGACTGCCGACATACACCTCCACGTAGACGCCATCCAGGTCTACAATTTGTCCGCCCCGTATGACGTTGTGCCGCTCCTGAACACACCATCGTCGCCACCACGAACGCCAGCAGATACACTCCTACCTTCATGGTGGCGCTGTAGGAGGTGTTGTATTTACCATATATATGTATATAGGTTAGGTTAGGTTAGGTACAGGTAGGTTAGTGAACGTGAGAGAGTGAAGGTAAGGGATAGGAAGGAAGGTAGTACAGGGGGCATTAGTATGCTACACAGTATCCCTATGCTGTATCACACAAAACCTGACCTTGCTTTACACACACACACACACACACACACACTTATAAGCACACGATCAAGGTACACTGTTTGTTTACATGCACTGTCTAAGTACAATGTATACCTGAATTGTCTAGGTACATTGTATACCCGCACTGTCTAGGTACACTGTTTACATGCACTGTCTGGGTACATTGTATACTTGAATTGTCTAGGTACAGTGTATACCTGCACTGTCTAGGTACACTGTTTGTTTACATGCACTGTCTGGGTACATTGTATACCTGAATTGTCTAGGTACAGTGTATACCTGCACTGTCTAAATACATGCCAAACTGTATACTTGCTTTGTTAATATACATAGTATATTTATGTCAATCTACGTGACGCTTTCATTAAATATCTATCTATTTATCTAAGGGTGACACAAACTCCACATAGTATAGAATTTAACGACACACTCACACACTGTACTTAGTGAGATGAACATAAGCTGCACATATTATAGTGTTTAGAGCCACATATTGTAACCTCCGCACTCTGTACTTGCTCACCTCAGCAATGGAGAGGTGTGTGTCCACTCTTGCAGAAGGCCAGGGAAAGACTGAGGCCCTGAGGAGGTTGAGGTACGCAGGATCAGGCAGGATGCAAAACACACTGCTGACGTCACATGCAACATATTTCATTGCTTTTTTTTTAGCATGTTGTCCTTGTAATATTCGTGTAGTTGGAAACAAATAAATTTGGAGAGAGAGAGAGAGAGAGAGACCACACCACAACCACACATACCCCCACCTGGTGACTGTGTTATACCCCACCTGGTGACTGTGTTATACCCCACCTGGTGACTGTGTTATACCCCACCTGGTGACTGTGTTATACCCCCACCTGGTGACTGTGTTATACCCCACCTGGTGACTGTGTTATACCCCCACCTGGTGACTGTGTTATACCCCCACCTGGTGACTGTGTTATACCCCACCTGGTGACTGTGTTATACCCCCACCTGGTGACTGTGTTATACCCCACCTGGTGACTGTGTTATACCCCACCTGGTGACTGTGTTATACCCCACCTGGTGACTGTGTTATCTATCGTAGTCAGTGATCAAATGTGTTATCTTTTAACGTGTTGATATATAGCGCAGTAAGGCAGGTTACATCAGGTCACCCTAGTTACACCTTATCAATACTGCCCTCTTGTGTGTGTGTTGTTACGACCGTGTCGAATTTTTCTATTTTTTTTTATAACATGCTTCCATGTTGTTCCATATTATTCCTGTAATGATGTGTTATATTTACTATTATATAATCTAGTCACCTTACCCTGTGCTGTTAAGGTTTTAACTGTTATTATTTGTTCAAGCCCATCTTATTTCTTCATTTAGTATTGTAACAAGCATTCTTTTCCTATAACGACCATCTGCATCGTTAAACGACCCACCGGCGGGTTTTGGGCGGGAATTTGGCCCTATATATAGTGGTCCACCAACTGACTGTGTTTAGATCCGTCTCCGCAAGGTGGATAACCCACCTGCTGTTAACCTCCTCCTATATTTCCTACTTCTTAACTTTACCTTGTACTGTACCCTTCTTGCACCCTCAGAGCTAGTGCTCTTTTCTCCGTATAACCAACCAACCAACCAACCCAGTGTTTAGTTTAGTCCTCTTGTCATACAGTTCACATCCTTTGAGTGACATTCGTCACTTGCTACTTGTACTTAATTTATTTGTTGTTCCTGTCGCCACCAATGTGGTATATCTATGTGAGTACCTATTTATGTCTCTATTTATGTCCATCAGTATTTGTTTAGTTACATTTAAGTAATTTAATGTTTCACGTTAGTCAATTTCAGTGTTAGTTTTTATGTTTATGCAGTGTTGACGTAATCCAATGCTTTATTTTCATTCTTTTGGTGTTTCGATGTTTAGTATCACTTGTCTTAAGTTTCGATGGTGAATCAATTTGTTGTGACAGCCTACGAGGCTCTTTATTGTGTTAATATTTAAGTAATTATTTTCTTTAAGGTTTATTTTATTCCCTTTTAATTTACTTCACTTTTTTTGTTTGGTTACGCCTAGATCCTGGATATTTAAGTAAATTAAGAGACGGCGTAAGAGTGTGTGTACTATAACAAGGAGAGCGTACACAAAAACTTTATCATCAATTATATTTATTATTTGTTAGAGATGTCTTACAAAAATATTACCTCCACCACACTTGGCAATAAACAGTAATATTGATTAAATTTGTACTCAAGAGGCTAAGCTCCTCCCACAACACTTACGACACAGATACCCTTATAATACACAAGCTGGCATTCAGTGGCTTCAGTGCCCAGTATAGGCCAATAGGCCCGCTGCAGTTTCCCCCATTCTCAGGTTCTTATAAGGGGAGTATATAAGGGGTGTACATAAGAACCTAAGAATGGGGGAAACTGCAGCGGGCCTATTGGCCTATACTGGGCAGTCCTATTTACACCCAACCCCTATCGCTCGTATATCCATCCAACCTATGTTTGAAGCTACCCAGCGTGTTAGTGTTAGTGATGATATTTGGTAACTTGTTCCACTCATCCACTACTCTATTGCCAAACCAATGTTTACCTATTTCGCGCTTTAATCTAAATTTGTCTAATTTAAAACCATTGTTACGAGTTCGCTTCTGGTTGGATAGTTTGAGTACCTTGGTAATGTCCCCTTTGTTTAGCCCTGACTTCCATTTATACACCTATCATATCACCCCTCACTCTACGTCTCTCGAGGGAGTGCAAAATAAGATGCTTTAACCTGTCTCTGTACTCAAGGTTCCAGATGCCCGGGATTAGTCTTGCCATTCTCCTCTGAATTCTTTCCAAGGATTCTATATCCATTCTGTAATACGGTGACCAGAACTGAACTGCGTGATCCCTTACATACACCCCTTATACTGTACACCCATGCGAGTGTTATGCTCAGTCACACACACCCAACGATAAACTACACTTCTGGCTGGTGACATGTAAACAGAACGTGATTAGGTTATCCTCAGGTGGACTAGCTAGAGTCAACACTAACAATAAAAAATGCATTAATATCACCATTCCTAGAGACGTTTTTACGCAGTGGTTTATCATCCCTGTTGTCGTGGAGTGATAACCGTTCAGTACAGCATGTGAACACAGCACTTTGATATCTATTGCTATTAAATAAGCACTAGAGACAAATATGTGATTAATTTACCTTATGACCAAAATCAGCTGAAACTGACACTGTTATACACCTCGCCTTATATAATTAATTAACCTAGAGCACTAATCTAATATGGGGATTAAGAGTGTCTATTTTTAAGGATCCTGGGGTTTACACTGGACACTATCATATAAGAATGGAGGAAACCGCAGCGGGCCTATTGGTCCATACTGGGCAGTCCTATTTACACCCAACCCCTATTGCTCATATAAACATCCAACCTATATTTGAAGCTATCCTTACGAAGGATATCCATTGTTCGGAACCTTTGTGAATAAGGATCGTCCCCATCAGACTGATTAAGGATATCGATCGTAGTCACTTGTCAAGCCTCCCTGTATATCTCGAGACAACAGCTGGGTTAAGGAGAGTTGATTCCAGGCAGCTTTATCCGTTAGATCAAGGCTGCATTGATCTATGACTGTTAGAACAAGATTATTTTGGGCCAAAGCTACGTTGAATCAATGCCCCTTTAACCCAAGACTCTTGCTGGTGTTGTCAGTGTGGTCAGACTAGACTCCTCCTGGGGTGCCACACGGTCCTTCAGCTGCTGGTGTTGTCAGTGTGGTCAGACTAGACTGGGTGCCACACGGACCTTCAGCTGCTGGTGTTGTCAGTGTGGTCAGACTAGACTGGGTGCCACACGGACCTTCAGCTGCTGGTGTTGTCAGTGTGGTCAGACTAGACTGGGTGCCACACGGACCTTCAGCTGCTGGTGTCAGTGTGGTCAGACTAGACTGGGTGCCACACGGACCTTCAGCTGCTGGTGTTGTCAGTGTGGTCAGACTAGACTGGGTGCCACACGGACCTTCAGCTGCTGGTGTTGTCAGTGTGGTCAGACTAGACTGGGTGCCACACGGACCTTCAGCTGCTAGTGTTGTTAGTGTGGTCAGACTAGACTTCTCCTTGGGTATCAGACACAGGAGTCCGGTACACGGGTGAGACTCGCAGAAGGAGCTACGCAGACTAAGGCTCCTCAATAACCTGATGTTTCCTGTAATAAAATAAATACTGCTTAAACATTTTGGAACATCAATCTAAGAAAGTCCTTATTAACTTGAAGAGAATAAAAACCTTTAAAAAGTGATAATATTCTTCTCGGATTTAATATAAGACACCCGTATCACCTCCCACTTATGTTACGAGACGCCTGGTGAACTTCAGACAATTTCGCATTATTCAACCTTCACTTATAATTCATCCTGTCTATTGTTTCTACCTGTATAAGGACGCGTTGTCTCGTGGTATTGTATAGACATGACTTACTTAACACCTCAGTACTCCACAGTAATTGAAGGTCAACACGTCAGGTCAACAGTCTTCAACTCACTGTGACCAGCTCTGTCGTTTCTTTCTCGTCGAGGTCATCTTAAGGCTCTTCCCATCTTTAACTTGGTCTTCCTCTGGTCTTCTGGGTCTCCTCGCATGCTATCTCCGCCTGAGCGTCCTCCTGGGTACTCTCCTGTCTCCCATCCTCATCATGTGGAACAAGCTTAGCAACTTTGTAGTAAATGCTGGAAAGTTTCAAAAGGAGGCTGGATAGATTCATGGATGATAGAGTGGTAGTAACTCGACAGGAGCTGCCATGCACAGGCCAACCGGCCTAGTGCAGACTCCTTATGTTCTTATGTGGCAAAACCAAATCAACGTTGCTTTTTTATAACCACAGACCGACTGGTGGCATCCGAATGTGGTCTTTATGTGGATTTTGTTTTCAGTTTCTGTGGTGTCTATATGAATTCATTTTTTTTATTTTTTTTTACAAATTCGTCTCAAATTATGTTGTGATCAATAGCATCCATGTACCCCATACAGCAAATTCGACATCAGTACCACAGGTTAGTTTCCACACTTACTGTTATCCTTATTTCTCTACCTCAGGTGCATTCTGGGAGGAGCCAAGTAGAAGCTGTTTACCATCCTTCTCTGGGTATAGTGTTGTTCAGTCTGGTAGCTTGTTCTCAGGGATGTAGGAGGTGACGGCCGTGTTGATCTGCTATAAGTTTTGCCGCAGTTACTCTTGTAATAAATCGGATACACACCACAAAGGCTTCTCCATCACAGAGGGCCCGGGGACTTGGGTGTGTGTCTTAGGAGGGGAGGTTTGCAGCGGCCAGTAGGAAGGCCCCAGCACTCATACCTGCACACATTATATTCAATTGAACCTTAAAATGGAACTTGTTTTGGTCAAATGAGAATAATCATTTATTATTGTTTTATCATGACAGTTAGTTCATATATGGTCAATTATGTCTTGTTTCATTTAAGGCGTTTACTATTACAATATAACCAAACTATAGGTTACCTAAATCAGTTTGTTACAGTTAGGTTAAGTGAAGTGTGTTTACGTTAAGAGAACCATCCCCAATTTTCACTTCCCCCAAATCACCCAATGACCAACACAGACCCAATAACATCTTACTAATCACCTCTTTACGGGATAAACTGTTGAACTGTTGTCAGGACCAGGCTGGTTAAGTTTGGTTAGATGATGATTAAGTGAGGTGAGGTGGTTCCCAAGCATTTCCCAGCCCGACCCTAATCTAATGTTATCGTCTGTTTAATGCGACTCCAAGTAACACACACACACACACACACACACACACACACGGATATTTCATCACCATGACACAAAACCACACTGATAAATATAAGCTCTGTGTGTGTGATGTAAACATTGAATCACCTAATGTTTTTATCTGTGACAAATTAGGAAAACTTATTACATAATTGTGTAAAAATAAACACATGCTGAAACAGGTTACAAATCGATGTTTATATCACCATTAAATGTTCTATAACAGGGGTTATTATTGCGTGGTTAAGTAACATAATTTTCTTATTTACAAGGGTGTCATATCTCATATCTATGTGTCCGTCATCATTTAACTAATTTCTCATAGTATATAAATTCTTTAAGTTGAAGTTTGACATACGGTTAAGGAATTAGATATTTATAAGCACCATTACCGTTAGTTGTTTCAGTCGTAGTAGGCGTTTCACTTGAACCTAGATAACTCTATTTTTAAACGTTTATCCCTCAATGATAAAAGTCCGCCAATCAGTTGCTATAGTCTGATAACGTCAGTTCACCCTTGCGTCGTTGTCAACCCGTAATTCTGATAATTAGAGCAAAAAAGAGTCACACTCTTGGACCAAAAGAGCCACACTCTCTTGGACGGAATCTGAACGAAATGAAAAGACTCCGTAAGCAACTCGGGGAATTTATCATTGAAATTTGCTGCCATTTTCTGTCCGCATCTGTGAGAAGTAGAGGGTGAACTGAGATGAGAACAGTTCAAAGGTAGACTGACCTGATCTGACCTGACCTGGACTGACATGACCTGACACAAGGAGAGTAACTATGTGGTCCCGACTTAACGAGACTACACCTGTCGACCACGTTAATTAGTCCTTGACACCTGGACTAAAAATAACAAATAATAAAATACCTGTACAACCCAGGTGACTCCAGCGACCCCATGACCTGTATGTGACCCCCTTATGGTGCAGCAGCGACCCCGTATTTAGGAACCGCTGGGGTGCATGAGGGTTAAATTAGGTTAAATTACAGGTTAGGAGATAGACAGTATGAGGGCCGTGATAGACAGTATGAGGGCCGTGATGGAGAGTATGAGGGCCGTGATGGAGAGTATGAGGGCCGTGATAGACAGTGTGAGGGCCGTGATAGACAGTGTGGGGGCCGTGATAGACAGTGTGGGGGCCGTGATAGACAGTGTGGGGCCAGTGATGTGGAGGCCGTGATGGACAGTGTGGGGGCCGTGATAACAGTGTGGGGGCCGTGACAGTGTGGGGGCCGTGATAGACAGTGTGGGGCCGTGATAGACAGTGTGGGGGCCGTGATAGACAGTGTGAGGCCGTGATGAGCAGTGTGAGGGCCGTGATAGACAGTGTGAGGGCCGTGATAGACAGTGTGAGGGCCGTGATAGACAGTGTGAGGGCCGTGGTAGACAGTGTGAGGGCCGTGATAGACAGTAGGAGGGCCATGATAGACAGTAGGAGGTGAAATAAACAGATAACAGTGTACCCATGATGGAAGTTCACTTGCCTCTCACTGATGATGTCCTGGTAACGTGCTTGTATGTGTAAGAGTTTCTCGGCTACCAGGAACACTACGTATATGATGATGGTGAAGCAGATGGCCAGGATATAGGCCCCTCTTGCCCAGCGGCGTAGGTCATGGAGCATCTTGAAGGGGTCTTCGGCTGGGGCTGCGGGTCTGAATTGGCTCACCCGCACACCCAGGTTGTTTGACTCCCATCGCAAGTCACAGACAGAGGCGCCTTTAGCCCTCAAGCGAAATCCAAGAAACTGTCCACAATTGACTGAGGTGTTGATGAGGTTGTAATAATTTATACCTTCTAAGGAGAGGCGATATGCATGGACGCCTTCTGTTAGTTTGGTGTAGGTTACCTTCATCACCACCTGTGTGTTGGAGGTGTCGAGGTGGAGGAGGTCGCTGGTGAGGTAATGGTTGCCTCTGTATAACACATAGTCGTCAGAACACGAACCAATCTTCATCGATACTTGTACGTACTTGAAGTTAATACTCACGTTTACCAAGTACTGGTTGTGTTCGTGGGGTGTTTCCAAGACCTCACCCTTCAAACTGGAGCCTTGTATACATTTGAAGACAGAAGTCATTCGTGCTCCATGGGGTCGTGAGGTTGGTCGTTTATGGTACGGTGACGGTGCAGTGAGAGGGGAAGCTACACCAGGTGACGGTGCAGTGAGAGGGGAAGCTACACCAGGTGACGGTGCAGTGAGAGGGGAAGCTACACCAGGTGACGGTGCAGTGAGAGGGGAAGCTACGCCAGGTGACGGTGACGGTGTAGTGAGAGGGGAAACTACACCAGGTGACGGTGCAGTGAGAGGGGAAGCTACACCAGTAACAGCCTCACAACTCTGATAGTTCAGTAAGAGGTACACAACAGCCCACAGTACACTCGTGCTTGTCATTCCCGCCATTTTCATACACGGATTTCCCTTACGTCTGCTGTCAGTAAACTAATATTGACTCTTGCAGCAAAACATGGGGTAGTGTTGAAGGGAATACTTAGCAAATACACGAGTACTGTCAGTGGGCTGATGTGTTCCTCTTAGTGTCCATTAAACCCACAACCGTTAGCTTCTCTTAAACCCACAACCGTTAGCTTTTCTCTCAGGGGTCGATATGCTGTGGGTCGCCACAGGTTTCATGGTGCAGTTGCCGATATGTTATCTTATCTAGTCCCTTCAATGACAATCCCTCACCCACTCACCCTAACATCCACTCACCCTAACATCCACTCACCCTAACATCCACTCACCCAAAACATCCACTCACCCAAAACATCCACTCACCCAAAACATCCACTCACCCAAAACATCCACTCGCCCAAAACATCCACTCACCCAAAACATCCACTCACCCAAAACATCCACTCACCCAAAACATCCACTCACCCAAAACATCCACTCACCCAAAACATCCACTCGCCAAAACACCCAAAACACCCACTCGCCCAAAACACCCACTCGCCCAAAACACCACTCGCCCAAAACACCCACTCGCCCAAAACTCGCCCAAAACACCCACTCGCCCAAAACACCCACTCACCCAAAACACCCACTCGCCCAAAACACCCACTCGCCCAAAACACCCACTCACCCAAAACACCCACTCGCCCAAAACACCCACTCGCCCAAAACACCCACTCACCCACCTCTCAACTCTTTATCTCAGTAAAAAAAAATGAGATATCTTTCAATCTTGATGATAACACTATCTGGTGTTGATATACTGACACTGCCTAACCACTACAACACAACACTATCACTACAACACAACACTACCATTACAACACAACACAACACAACACTACCACTACATAACAATAAGAATTTAATTTAATTTTATGTTTTTTTACAGGGATTAGCCCACCCGGGTACAGGTCACTGACCCACATCAGGGCCTGGGGGACGAAAATATAATAATAATAATAATAATAATAATAGTAACCATAAATAATAATAATAATAACTAATTAAAATTATAATGAATAAAATAATAATAATAATAATAATAATAATAATAGTAACCATAAATAATAATAAAAAAATTCAAGAGTGAGAAACGACATACATTATGTATGTTGTGTTGTCAAAGTAAGAGATACAATTGAAACCCTGCAATTGTGTGTAAATGATGCAGGAAGTCAGCTCATCAACCTGGGACTTGGTCACAATTTTGTGGTGTCATACGGCAGCAGGGTCTACCATTAGACAACACATTATACTTCCAGTATCTTCCCAGGCGGTAGTACCTCCCTGTTTGGTAGCTGCATCTTCCTACTGTTTGGTTTTATTTTTAATTAATCTCATATTTTTTATTGCTGATGAAACAAACACGCTTCACAATAATGATCTGACGCTCGATGGAAAAAAAGTCCTCATGATACCATATATTTGGTGCTGTGATTTTATACATACAGTACGTGATTTATTGAGAACTTTATCTAAATTATCATAAATTTCAAACTCAATATGTAAACACAGGCTGTTTTGTTGACGCCAATTTACACTCCTGCAAGAAGAGGAAAGTATTTACGTAGTCACATCAACAGCTGGGCCTCGTCACACCTGCAGCCCCTAATTATATTCAGTGTAAACTTCAACATATGGCCTTGGCTCACAGTTACCAGATTCCACTATTCGTGTATCACCATTAGATATCTACCACGTACCGATAATTCACACAAACTAATTCGAATTAAATGAATATATTATTCCAATCAGTATTATAATTAGAAACATCCTTGATTCTTTTTATTTGGCGAATTTTTGCCTAAACTGACAACTGTACATGTATTCGGATGCGGGCAATAATACGGTACACGGGGACTGTTTAAACACACGTAGGAAGCGGGGATGAATGCAGTCTGATTACGAGTAAAGTAATAAAATAAATTATTAGTGTTATGTTCGGTAGTGTCGCTTTGTTGTCGTTATAATGTTATTACTGTGTGTCAATAACTAAGATCTTGAAGAGTGTATCAAGGTTAGTGATTATACCGTTACATTAACAATTATTAACTATGATAGATTAAACATTTATTTCATTTTTGTGGTAAGCCCTACATTGCCTCTACTATACGACGCCCTGAGCACTACAGATCGACGTGTTGGTAAATAATGAGACGAACATAGTGACACATTGATTTCTTTAATGTTGTAACTAAAACGTTTCATCCAACTGTTCTGAGGAAGTAGGAACAAAAAATGGTTCAACTCGCTTTATATTAAGAGGTGGGTGGTGACTCTGTGACTACATTGAGTACACATTAAACTGAAGAATGTACTGTAATGTTAATAGAGGAGCCATTGTGTAATATACTGTACTTTTAATACCAATTCCTGCTAAAATCAACTAGTTAAGATATGATTCCTGAAGTCTCGTTAAAACACTAAAGATGTCTGTCGGACTCTTACAGAAAAGTTAGTTTATTTTATGTGGACGTGCAGTAAGGCGGTAGATTACCTCTGGTATGTGTTAATATGTTATTAGGACACGGTGCGTGAGGCCAACTACTCCAGGTGGGTGGTCCCAATAGGTGTTCGTCTGTGTCTTGTTTGTTGACTTATTACACTTGTTGCCTTAAGGAGTCGCGTGGTTTACGGGCTGGCAGTAAACAAGGGACCATTGCCATCATCCACTATGTTTTCATCTTAACAGTATGGACATAAGTTTATCATTATCCTTGTGAAGATTCGGACGCAGGGTAGTGAGGCAACATATACTTGAGTATAAACACCTAGTTCTATTAATTAATATATATATTTTTTTTTTTACGCTATTTTCTGAGTTGATGTTCATACAACACGTGAATTGGATAATCACTTAAATAATCTATGATTTAATTACAAAAATAATAGTAATATAATCAATAGTTACGAGCATTAAATACAAATATACTCCGTCAAGTGCACCTTAATGGCGTGACAACACGTGTCGTTGATTCTGAGTGGCTGAGCTAGAGAACCAGCACCCGTGGGATCCATAAGACTGTACTGTGCTGTCCTGTTGCACCCTATCTTAGTGTTACGGTGAGTGTTGTAGGTGGTGCACGGCAGGGCCACACTCCTGTTGTATCTTAGTGTTACGGTGAGTGTTGTAGGTGGTGCACGGCAGGGCCACACTCCTGTTGTATCTTAGTGTTACGGTGAGTGTTGTAGGTGGTGCACGGCAGGGCCACACTCCTGTTGTATCTTAGTGTTACGGTGAGTGTTGTAGGTGGTGCACGACAGGGCCACACTCCTGTTGTATCTTAGTGTTACGGTGAGTGTTGTAGGTGGTGCACGACAGGGCCACACTCCTGTTGTATCTTAGTGTTACGGTGAGTGTTGTAGGTGGTGCACGGCAGGGCCACACTCCTGTTGTATCTTAGTGTTACGGTGAGTGTTGTAGGTGGTGCACGGCAGGGCCACACTCCTGTTGTATCTTAGTGTTACGGTGAGTGTTGTAGGTGGTGCACGACAGGGCCACACTCCTGTTGTATCTTAGTGTTACGGTGAGTGTTGTAGGTGGTGCACGGCAGGGCCACACTCCTGTTGTATCTTAGTGTTATTAAAGAATTATTTGTGTTTTATGATCGGGCACAGTTGAAGTAAACATGTTATCGTTTCCGTGATATAAGAACATAAGAAAATAAGGAGTCTGCAATAGGCCGGTTGGCCTGTGTATGGCAGCTCTTGTCGAGAGTTACTACCACTCTCTATCATCCATGAATCTATCCAGCCTCCCTTTGAAACTTTCCAGCGTTCCAGCACTTACTACAAGGTTGCTAAGCTTGTTCCACTCGTCCACCACCCTATTTGTAAACCAGTTCCTTCCTATCTCCCTCCTAAACCTAAACTTATCCAACTTGAATCCGTTGTTCCGAGTCCTATCCTGCTCGAATATTATAAGAACTTTATCTATATCCCCTTTATTGATTCCTTTCACACACTTGAATACTTCAATCATATCTCCCCGCACTCTTCGTCTTTCTAGGGAATGCAAGTTTAGTTTCTTTAACCTATCCTGATATGGAAGGTTTCTAAGTCCCGGAATCATTTTCGTCATTCTTCGCTGCACCGACTCATCTTATACCGTTGTTATTTTGTAGTGCGGGATACAACAGCAACTTACATAAGGGATCCCCATATGAGTCTAGTTTGTTTATGGTAGAGGTAAGGGCTCAGGGGTGATTTTTGCGTAATAATTAAAAATACTCTATCAATTTATGGTTAATATAATCAAAATACCGGCTAACAAATGTCTTTTAATAAAATATACCCTTTTTACACTTCATATTTGTTGTCTAGAATAGTTCCCCACCCCCCGCCATGGTTGCTGCTACAGGCCCCCGACGGTTTCACTCTGGTTGGATTTACAATTTTCACTTGATTTATGGAAGTTTTACGGTTCGTTTAATCCACCTTTGAGTATTTCATGTTTAAGATACAGTCTAGGAAGAAGGAAATGTTGAGTGTGCGTGACTTAGCGCGTGGCAGCTACAGATTAGATAAGGCAGTGAGAGCTCTTGTGTACCGCCGCTGTCCTGGCACGTCTGGAGAAGAACATTCTTCTGTTCTTATAATACAAAACAAGGCTGGGTGTATTGTACCACATTTCCGGTAACTGGGTTCTGGCTTTTCCAACCAGAAAGCCGGTTATCAACTTATTATCCACATGAAGTACTGGGCATGTACTGGCTCCTGAATGTATTTGAACCTGCTCGTGTTGGTCAAGTCTGGCCCTGAAAGAGCTCACACTCAGTGCCATCACAACACACTCTGGCAGATTGTTTCAAGAGTTCACAATTCTGTTTAAAAAAGTTGCCTTGACAATTTTCTGAACTTGTGACTTCTTCAACCTTAAGTGGGGCGGGTGTCCGCCAGCTCCAGGTATGAACACTCGACTGAGTGAGAGGTGCTTATAGACTTTTATTAAGTCACCCAGTCACCCCTTGGCCGCCTGTAGTATAAGCTAGGCAGCTGCAGGTGTTCTAATCTCTGGGTAATTGAGGTGCCGTAGGGCAGTAGTCTCTAGCATATCTCGGGGACCAGGCGGGGTGACAGTACTCCAGACGGGGAAGCACCTCATTCCTGAAGATCGTTACGAGGTATGTGAACGACCTTCTATAAGACTTACTAGCTTAGTTGCTTGATTCACCATATTTCAACAATGGTCTGAGAACTACAGTTCATTGTCAACATACCCACCCAGGTCTTTTTTCATATATTATGGTCTCCTTCATTCAATGAGTAGCAGTGAAGTTTGTAAGAACTAAGTTATAAATTTTTATTCTTTTTATTAATTATTATTCTTATTATTATATGTTTGCCCCCAGGCCCTGATGTGGGTCATTGACCTGTGCTCTGGTGGGCTAATGCCACAGGTTGTGACGTCATGATTTGAGTGATAACTTCAGTTTGTAAGGATAAATTTTCTGTGAATTTTGAGAATTTTTGGGTTTTTCAACACAGATTTAGTCGCCATAATACGTGAGTCTCTCAGTCATAACATGGGTCTTCAATATCAATCCTCTCGTTGTGATATTATATTAATATTTACCTTGTACACTGATTGATCTGATAATAGCAAGTTAATAACAAAATAATGATGTTCACTATTGCAGTTACGATGTTGAAAATGTACGCGGTGATAGCGGTGGGGCTGGTAGTCCTTCATCAGGGACAGTGTCAGCCAGTACCCGGGTGTTGTTACTGCGTTGATGACAGTGGAAACAACGTCACCGCTTTCTGGTCAGGTACGTAAATAATGTAACACTCACACTGAACAATTCTTTCTATTCTCCTTTGTAGTTTTGTTTGTGTTTACTCAGGGTGTGACCGCCAGCAGTGATATATAAACAGCAGCAAGAGATGATTCCTAAGTTCTCTTCTTTAAAACTTCCTTCATTTACACTGGTCACCTTTTTATGCCCCCGATGATCTCTCATGTTGGCTGTACAGTAGTGAACATTATCAATATATATTCAGTAATAATCACAAAACACTACGCTTTTCAATAGACCATAAATATATATACATTTCATCATGCAGTATGTCCTAACGCACGTATTTCCGTATTATTGATAAGGTTATATTATTTTATTACCGATAAGAATGTTATCAGTAAGAAAAAAAGTGTTATGGCAGTGAAGGAATTATGAGATTTAAATTTCAATACAAAGCCCAGCCAAGGAGGACCACAGGACGCCCCCACCGCCTGAGTCATAACTTAGAAGATTGTTTAGTCACACAGAACTTAATTAAAGTAAGTAGTGTTTATTGGTGAGAGTCTCGTTACCTCACACCCCCTCAGCTGTTACTCTTGGTCTGTCTCTCCCACGTTGTCACTCTCTCTCTCGCTTATCTTATCATAATTCTACAGTGACATCACACTCTTTAACACCTGTAAGACTCTCATGCGCCGTCTTCCTTGCCTCTTAATTACACACACACTTCACCTTACCCTACCTCCTCCCCACCCAGCCCCTGACCACACCAGCCTCGCTACCCCTACACTTCCATATACAAATACAAAATTACCCCCACACGTTAAATGCCCCAGATGGACTGACTCGTTATGTTTAATTCTCCAGTGTTGGTTCACTTCCACGCCGGGTATTCTTTAGTTGTGGATGGTTGGTAGACTGCATCACCGCTTGTTTCAGGGGCATTATGATTCCTTTACCTTGAGTGGTTTAGTTGATGTGTGGATCATGAGCAACTGGCTGTCTTTGGACTCTCCACCTTGTGACTTATCGGGTTTGGACTTATCTCCGTGTACTGTAAAGGAGTTCTTGAATCCTCTCATCTTCCTCAGTCACCAGTGTGGAGTATCCTGTTGTCTTTATAACAGGAGAGTAATAGCCTGTATCAAGAAGCAAGATTCCCTTCACGTCTTTCCTCTATGGGATATTTTCTATCGTTGAAGCTGTCGTGTTCCGCTACGGCCATATAAACACTCAGTGAGGACCGAGACTCTGCCAAGGAATGAGGTAATGCTGTCTGAGACATGTTGGCTCATGACACTCTGGCCTCGTGGTGAGAATCTGTCCTAAGGTAAATTTATTTTTGATTTCAGATCGTGTTTCCCTTTGGTGGCAACGAGTCTACTGGGATAATAGGTGGGGTTGGATCCCTCATCTCTGGATTGGAACAAGTGAGATCAGATTTATATATTCTTTCACTAGTTAGGATCCCTTCAGTTGATGGCTACCAAGGCAGTTACGTGATCCTGTGAAGTAGAGGATAAGCAAAGAGGCCTCAAGTGTGGGTCTTCATGGTATTTCCGGCTCCCTTACTGTGGCTGTGTAGTGTCTCAGTTATCAAGATTAGTAATGTTTAAACCAGTCGACTATTGTTAGACTATTATTAGACTATTGTTAGACTATCTTTTGAGCCTAGGGAAGATTTCTTGTTGGGTGTCTTTGTACCCTTCCACGGAATCTCTGGGTCATCAAGGTATCCCTCTCTCTCTCTGACCAAGACAACACCCGGGTACAACCTAGAATAATGGAGTTTGATGATCACTTACAGCATAGGGTAAATTGTGGGGTGTTAGAGACGAAGGTGTTCTGTGTCAGGAAGTGTTTCATCATATGCCACCTCTAGCTATTTCCACCTCCTGGTTGATTAGTTGGTTTTTTACATTAGTGATTTGTTCTAGATAGGCATAAATCACCCTGAGATACTGTATGATATTATAGGAAGTCCTGGAAAGAAATCTGAATCCTGAGTACTTGGTTTTGTGTTGTACTTGGTAAAAGACTGAACTAGTGTACTGGATGTTGCCCTTGGCTTGTTAACTTCTACTTGAGGACGGTGGTGGTCGTAGGAGAAATGGCTGAGCTTGAGATTAGCCTCATCAGCCATACCACAAGCTTTCAACAGACATATCCAAGAGTTTCAGCCTAGGATTGGTTATAAAATAGGATATCAAGATGATTCCTACATTTATGGCAGAACTCATTCCTAAGGAGCTCGGGCATCCTTCCTTGGGTGGTTAGCTTAGTTGGTATTGTATTTGAGTCAAAGATGGTGAACTGAAGACTTGGGGAGACACAACTGTAGACTTTCCACCTGTACACCTGATCTACCAATTTGGGGGACATTAGGGGTGGAATAGGGTAATTATATCCAAATAGGTTAACACATTACACCTATTTAATATAAAGGGAATGTTTAAGAAGCCAAACATCTCTGTAATACCGACAAGCTGCCTCACTAATGGTTCAAAACTGTATTGCGACTTATCGAACACAATTTATGAGGGACACCAACAGGAAATAACACATTGGTCTAGTTAGTGTGTCTTTGTTATCCACGAAATAATGTTCCTTGTGATGTTGCTGCATGAAATAATGTTCCTTGTAATGTTACTGCACGAAATAATGGTCCTTGTAATGTTACTGCACGAAATGTTCCTTGTAATGTTAGTGCACGAAATGTTCCTTGTAATGTTACTGCACGAAATTAGATCTCACACTTAAGGATGGTACACATGAAGGATGGCACCATGATACATCTCGCACTTAAGGATGGTACCATGATACATCTCACACTTAAGGATGGCACCATGATACATCTCACACTTAAGGATGGTACCATGATACATCTCACACTTAAGGATGGCACCATGATACATCTCACACTTAAGGATGGCACCATGATACATCTCACACTTAAGGATGGTACCATGATACATCTCACACTTAAGGATGGTACCATGATACATCTCACACTTAAGGATGGTACCATGATACATCTCACACTTAAGGATGGTACCATGGATGAACGACTAACAGGGACATACAGATACATAGTTATTCTCAGGGTCGTCTGAACCCATGATGCTGACCCCATTTTAGTATAAAGTGACCCCACACACAGAAGGCAATTGTCACCTATGTTGTATAAACTTCCAGCTTGTACAGAGGAACACAAGGACCATACAGTTGGCGCTTGCTTTGAGGCAACAGGTTATAAGGAATCTTGCTCACCTAAACGAGTCACCTATGAAGTCACCTATGGACCCCGAACGGTGAGGAATTCTCGTAATGCCGATCAGTGTCTAAGAAATAGTTTAATTTTGCAAAAGGCGTATTAGTGAGTATATGATGGTAAGTAATATGTTTATAACGAAGATTTTGAGATTGATATTTGATGATTAACCCCTTCAATACGGTGGTGTAGGAGAATACTATGAAAACTAAAGTTGGTTTGGCTCACCAGGTACTGTACTCTGAGCCAGATAGTAAAGATGTGTCACCTAGGATCAAACTTTCACAAATAAGAACTTTTATCTCACACAGGCCTGGATCACGTCAGAGCACCTACAGGCGAGTGCGTCATCCAAGTGTGCTGGGATGGGTGAGATATTCTCTTCCCTTTACAAACTTTAAGCAATTTAAACTATTTGTACAGTCACCCAAAAAAGTCGTGTCGCCTCTCATCCTGAACCATGAACCCCGAGATTCAGACTCTTGAATCCGAAGCATTTATGGATAGACTAATGTATCAGTGTGTACTGCTTCGGGTTCACGAGTCTGAATCTCGGGGTTCGTGGTTTAGGATGAGATGTGACAGGACTTTTTTGGGTGACTGTACATTGTGTTTTGTGAGTCAATAGATGAACATGTTGTTATTAATGTACTGGGGAATAATGTATTTATGGTATTAATGGAGTGTATTTTCTTGTAGTGAAGTATTTAACGGTGTTGATCCACTGACTTGTGACCCCCCAACACTGGTAGGTTACTTGTGAGGGTGACGGGAGGTGTTACATATAAAGTCTAAGAGGGAAATATTGTGTTCTATTGAATTATATTGTTAATGTTGAAAGTGAGTTTCTATTAACAGGCGGCGACTGTTCAAGGCTACAGTTTGTGACCCGTGCTGAGTGGGGGGCTCGTGACCCAGTGTCTAGGGAACCCATAATTCCCCCATTCAGCGGGGTGTTCGTCCACCACTCCGCCATGGCCAGGTGTAACACAAGTGAGGAGTGTGTCGCCGAAGTACAAGAAATACAGAAACTCCATATGGATAAAAACGGTAACTTCCCTGTACTCTCATCATGTTTCAGTTGTTATAGTAAAGCTGTTTTGTGGTCACTACTTAATTGACACATTTTGTGATGAGTCTAAACACTATTTTTACCACATGATTAAACTAAAGTGTTTTGACAGCTAGAAGCTTCCAATAATAAATACTTGTGGCATTTGATAGAAAGGTAATGTAGCCAACGGAATAATGCAGCCAAGTCGTGTATCTTAAAGATTCTTAACACTAAGTTACAACATATAAGGTCATACAAGGTCAAACGATATTACTAAGTTATTCCCTTAGATCATCACTACAGCATTATTACAGTTTTTTTTTTTTTTATTCTAGGATGGGATGATATTGGCTACCACTTTTTGGTTGGTGAAGATGGTAGAGTGTATGAGGGTCGTGGCTGGAACGCTCGCGGGGCACACGCACGGGCGCACAACGCATGGACCTACGGTATATGCGTGATGGGCAACTATGTCATGGCTTTACCCAATGACCGAGCTCTGACGGCCTTGAGGGATATAATGGACTGTGGGGTAAAACAGGTTAGTCTTATTTTTCTCTATGTCCCACTATAGGCTGGGTCATCCGTACTTCTCTCTCTCTGTCTGTCTGTCGTATTGCTCTTCTCTGTCTGTTATACCGACCTTCTGTCTGTCTGCTACACTGACCTTCTGTCTTCTATCATACTGACTTTCTCTCCATCTGTCATACTAATGTTCTGTCAATCTGTCTGTGTGTCTCTCATATGACTTTCCTTCACTGTCGTGGTATCGTGGTGCTGGAGGCAATATCGTGGGGTTTTAGGACAGGTCTGTCTTGAGAGTTGTATGCTGGCAGATCGTATTGGAGGGGCAATGGAGAAATGGAAGGATGGAATAGAGTCAAAGGGCCTGAGAGTGTGACAAAACAAAAGTGTTGGTGAGTGGTGTGGGTGAGGGACCGGTGGTGGAAAGTTGTCAAGTGTTGGCAGTAATATGCAGCGAGTGAGGTGTAGTAGAATAGATGGCAGACTGTGGGATGTTGTTGACTTTTAAGTGATCTATATGTGCAGGTAACCACGTGACCTAAGCAACGGTGGGGAAACTTAGCACTGGGAAACATGTACTTGGAGTGTGTCAAGGAGTTCTGTTTAAGTGGGTGAAATGACCAGTGTTGGAGGGGTGCTGAAGCTAACTCAACTACTAGTCAGACGTGGTTGGAGGGGTGCTGAAGCGAACTCAACTGCTAGTCAGAGGTGTTGGAGGGGTGCTGAAGCTAACTTAACTACTAGTCAGAGGTGTTGGAGGGGTGCTGAAACTAACTCAACTACTAGTCAGACGTGGTTGGCGGGGTGCTGAAGCGAACTCAACTGCTAGTCAGACGTGTTGGAGGGGTGCTGAAGCTAACTAAACTACTAGTCAGACGTGGTTGGAGGGTGCTGAAGCTAACTCAACTACTAGTCAGACGTGGTTGGAGGGTGCTGAAGCTAACTCAACTACTAGTCAGACGTGGTTGGAGGGTGCTGAAGCTAACTCAACTACTAGTCAGACGTGGTTGGAGGTGCTGAAGCTAACTAAACTACTAGTCAGACGTGGTTGGAGGGTGCTGAAGCTAACTCAACTACTAGTCAGACGTGGTTGGAGGGTGCTGAAGCTAACTAAACTACTAGTCAGACGTGGTTGGAGGGGTGCTGAAGCTAACTCAACTACTAGTCAGACGTGGTTGGAGGGGTGCTGAAGCTAACTAAACTACTAGTCAGACGTGTTGGAGGGGTGCTGAAGCTAACTCAACTGCTAGTCAGACGTGGTTGGAGGGGTGCTGAAGCTAACTAAACTACTAGTCAGACGTGTTGGAGGGGTGCTGAAGCTAACTAAACTACTAGTCAGACGTGTTGGAGGAAGCTTAGGGAGTTACTATGCTTATTAACCAAAAGAAAACCTTCCATTCACACGAAAGGAAATGTGTATGCAACTGGTTTCATAAATGAGATGTTGTATGGCTGTGAATCATAGGCTGAACTGAAATGAAAATAATGAAATAAATGTGTAATGTGACACTGAAAGACTGAAGAAGTGTGTGTGGTCATGTGGAGACTAGGGGATACCAACTAAATCATTTATTCACATGATATTATACCTCCCATATTATTTCACATATCACCTATCTAATACATGCAACATAAAATCTCCCCTTTACATAATTCATCTATAGTCAATTAAGTTTCTTTTTTTCTAACCATTATTAATTTGTAATACTAATTATTTTACCTTCTTATAGGGGAAAATAACCCAGGGCTTTGAGGTGTTTGGCCACAGGGATGGAGTGTGTACTGAGTGCCCAGGACAGATGTTGTATGAAGAGATTCAGACGTGGCCTTACTACTCTCACAGAACTATACCTATTTACTGTTAACCTGCTACTGTTAACCCATTACCTTACTGCTGTTAACCCATGACTACTGTTAACCCATTACCTTACTGCTGTTAACCCATGACTACTGTTAACCCATTACCTTACTGCTGTTAACCCATTACCTTACTGCTGTTAACCCATGACTACTGTTAGCCCATTACCTTACTGCTGTTAACCCATGACTACTGTTAGCCCATTACCTTACTGCTGTTAACCCATGACTACTGTTAGCCCATTACCTTACTGCTGTTAACCCATGACTACTGTTAGCCCATTACCTTACTGCTGTTAACCCATGACTACTGTTAACCCATTATCTTACTGCTGTTAACCCATTACTACTGTTAACCCATTACTACTGTTAACCCATTACTACTGTTAACCCATTACCTTACTGCTGTTAACCCATTACTACTGTTAACCCATTACCTTACTGCTGTTAACCCATTACCTTACTGCTGTTAACCCATTACTACTGTTAACCCATTACTACTGTTAACCCAACACCTTGCTGTTGTCATACTCTCCTGCCTTCGTATACACGTTAGTCATCAAAGGGTTAAACCATCCACCTCAAAGGGCTGAACACCATCCTCAGAGGATTAAACCATCGTCCTGAAAGGGTTGAACTATTGTCCGAAAGGGAATAAAACATCATACTCATAAGGATTAAACCATCGTCCTGAAAGGGTTAAACCTTTATTCTCAAAGGGTTAAATCTACCTGTAATTGTACGGTAGAAAAATACGTTCACCTTTTTGCAGTTTTTCATTTAATTACGTTTGGTTATATAGTTGATTCGGAAGTGTGGATAATTAGGTAATTAATTGATAAATAACCATGATTACCATTTAGTTAATTATTATCATTAAAAAAATCATAATAGTGTGTTTTTCTGATCTTGACTGGGATATTTCACATTAGCGTTAATAATGATATATACAGTATTGATTAAGTCTGGTGAAATATATGGTGGTGAAATTGAAAATATTATTATAGTGGTGTAAAAATATTAGTGCTTTTATTTTCCATTGTTGGGTCTATAGATGGTGTATTGGGGAGTGGGGTCGCGTGATGTCTCGAGTTCACAGGTTCGTATGTCTCTGGGTTCGTGAATGGAATAGGATTTTTTCACCCGATTGCTTTGTTTGAGAACTCGTGCAAACAAACTACCTTATTAAGTCATTAGACGAGAGTTGATTGGCCAGAGCTTCATAATATTAATGTGAAATTATTATTGAATATGATTATTATTATTATTATTATTATGATGATGATGATGATTTGATATTAAACTAAATAAATCATAAGTGGTTTTCATTCATTCTTTTGATGGAAAGTTGAAGAAAAACTTGATTATATGAAACTACAAGATGTAATTTAATTATTAGGTAAAATATTATTAACTGACAAGTGATGGAAAAACTAGTGCTGACACTGACTACTGGAGCTGACACACACCTCACTGATGCTGATACTCACTACTGGTGCTGACACTCACTACTGGAGCTGACACACACCTCACTGATGCTGACACTCACTACTGGTGCTGACACTCACTACTGGAGCTGACACACACCTCACTGATGCTGACACTGACTACTGGAGCTGACACACACCTCACTGATGCTGACACTCACTACTGGTGCTGACACTCACTACTGGAGCTGACACACACCTCACTGATGCTGACACTCACTACTGGTGCTGACACTCACTACTGGAGCTGACACACACCTCACTGATGCTGACTGACACTCACTACTGGTGCTGACACTCACTACTGGAGCTGACACACACCTCACTGATGCTGACTGACACTCACTACTGGAGCTGACACTCACTACTGGTGCTGACACACACCTCACTTACGAAGGAAAATTACAATCATTACATTATTTTGTTTACCCCCAGACAAGATCATGAGTATCTAAAAGGTAATTACTCAGTCAACTGCACATATCTGGAGGTAACAGACGCTCCCCCCCCCCCGCCCCCAGAAGTTACAGCCTCAAGTTAAAGAAACGATCAATACAAAGAACTCATCAGAGATAACTTCTATGGAGTAAGAGTTGTGAACTATCGGAATAACCTAAGTGTTGTGGTATCACCAAGAGAGAGCCTTTAGTACACACTTGACCACCACTGACACATGTTCAGCTACAGTCTAACCTTAGTCTAGCGGTTGGTACAGCTTGTTACTTGATCCATTATACATGTTTTACGCATCATGGTAAACAATTGATTGAATAGTGCCTGTTTACATTTGTCTACTGGCTTCAAATTCATCAACAAGTTATTTCCTGACTGTAGTTATTAAGGTTGTGTGATAGTCCCAGGTTGTATTCGACATTGTTATTGTTGGACGCGAGTTTAGCTATCGGAATAACCTAAGTGTTGTGGTATCACCAAGAGAGAGCCTTTAGTACACACTTGACCACCACTGACACATGTTCAGCTACAGTCTAACCTTAGTCTAGCGGTTGGTACAGCTTGTTACTTGATCCATTATACATGTTTTACGCATCATGGTAAACAATTGATTGAATAGTGCCTGTTTACATTTGTCTACTGGCTTCAAATTCATCAACAAGTTATTTCCTGACTGTAGTTATTAAGGTTGTGTGATAGTCCCAGGTTGTATTCGACATTGTTATTGTTGGACGCGAGTTTAGCTAAGGCATCAACTCTATCATGTTCACTAATGCCAATGTGAGATGGGATCCACAGCAGCTTGATCCTGATACCTCGTCAACAAGACACATATGTTTGTGTCTGGCTTCAGGTACAAGCAGGTGACAATCTGAGGGTATCACGAGCAAGTAGTGAGGATAAGGAGTCAGTGATGATTAGACTGTCAGTGGCAGTCTTCAACAAGTTTCAGGGCTGTGAGTATGACAAATAGTTCAGTTTATAGAGTGGATGACCTGTTACTAATTCTAGCTCATTTCTCTGTTACTTTACCGTTAGACTGACAGCCCTCCCACAGACAGTGTTAAGAGAGCCGTCAGTGTAGATGGCCTATGTGATGTTATTAGTCTGTAGGGTGTGTGTGTGTGTTGGGTGGTGAGGAGAGTTGAGGGAGGCAGGTGAGGGGTGAGGAGACAGGGAGAGGTGAGGAAGGCAGGTGAGGGATGAAGGTGGTGAGGTAGGCAAGAGAGAGAGAGAGTAAATTTCATAAGGTAATCTAATAAGACATCCTTTTCTCTCTCATTTAAGTAAACACTAATTTTCAGAAGAAGAAGGAGAAGGAAAATAGACGTAGGTGGGATTTAATGGGCCAGAACACCTTGGAGGTCTTGTCTTCAGCATAGAGGGCGCCAGCAGCAAGGTCAGCCAGTATACTACAGTGAGGTCATCTTTCATCATCCTACGTCCTAATTCTCAAAAGTTAGTACATTATAGATACGCTCTTTCACTGGGAATATAGGAACACCATCAACTAACACGCTTCAACTAACATACAAACACAGATTCTGAAACGTCTTTACTATAACGAAAGATAAAATATTTCCAACACTCACTAAAATGTATCAAAGAATGGATTCCGAAAAGCACTATCGTTATATTTGAAGTTAGTTTTACAGATGAGAACGTATCTAACTGACTGAATTAAGCTACAATACGGAGATAGAATCACCAATTCATCCATATAACTTAAGCTACAGCACAATGGATCTACTCTATTCACTGTAAAGAGGCTGTGTTTTTTTGTTTCCAATGTGGGATGAGTGTTTTATGTGTGCTCGCGTGCCCAGTTAGAGTGTGTGTAAGCTTCCACCACGATCTAACAAAACCTTCATTACTCCCATCTACGGAGACCCAACGTAGAGGGGTGGAGTGCGCTGGGGAAGTGGATACAACTATCGCTTCCTGTTCTCTGGGTCACTAGTTGTATCCCTGACTACTCCCACTCTAGTATCTCTGACTACTCCCACTCTACTATCCCTGACTACTCCCACTCTACTATCCCTGACCACTCCCACTCTACTATCCCTGACCACTCCAACTCTACTATCCCTGACTACTCCCACTCTACTATCCCTGACTACTCCTCTACCTAATATTAAGGAAGTGAAGGAGTTCGAAGGCAGTGTTGGGTTCCATTTTTTATTCTCTTATACAGGTTAGTTTAACTTTCTTATAAAAACAACAATAATATAAGACTAATTACCATTTTAGTAACCCGGGTCTTTCGTATATGATCCAGTCATTTCAGCTTATACAAAGAACTACAATATCTGGGCGGAATTTTAATGTCAAATGCCTTTCCCAACTTCCTTTTAGATATTTATATTGGTAAACGACTCATACTCCCAAACCTCAAACAATCACCAACTCCTATATTACATACTAATAAAATTGCAGGGCTTCGCTGGGTCAGATATAATGTATAACCTGACACGGGTGATCACCTCCCGTAATCACTGTCGGGATATATCAGTCGGGGGAAGATTTTTTTGGTTTTTGCCTCCCACGTGTTTCTGTTTTTCCCTCGTTAACAAAGTCAGGGTCTCCATACATCGATAGCCTTGTGTGGTGTTGAAGATGTCTGCCATACTTTAATGTTAGGAAGATTTATCGATTTGTAGCGACGGATCGTAATTTCTCGTTATGTTTTGATGTGTGTGTGTGTGGGAGTATGTGCGTATGAGTGTGTGGATGTAGTTATATCGATATAAATATTAAAAAAATAAACCACGAGGAAGAAAAGAAATACTTACTTCCGCATTAAGAAACAGAGGATCTTGCATCTAACCTTAGTTTGAGGAAGTGACGTCACATTCTCCCCACTACACATACCCCGCCACATTCTCCCCACTACACATTCTCCCCATCCTGTCTACCATCTCAAAACACGACTAAAAAGACATACAAACACACACATAGTTTTACCATAAGAGTATAGGATGATGTTAATAGATTTAAATATGACAATGTGGCAACTCAAGGTAGGTGGTGTCAAGGGTAGATCTTGTACCGGGTATAAGTATGAGAACAGGCAAAAATATTGGTATTATTCTCCACAACACGTTTAAGAGACAGTCATGGTAAGAACTCTCTCTCCTGGGATTATTAACACCACTATCACCACCGTTACCACCGATATCACCACCACTACTATCACCACAGCTACTATCACTATCACCAACACTACCACTATCACCACCGCTACTATCACTATTAAGAACATTTGAATCATTGTTTATACAGAGGTGCTGAGTTAAAAATTGAATATTTAGTTAATATTTCACTCGTTACACACAGGGTCGTAGTTCTGTGTTGGCCGCTACGGTGGTGTTGGCGCTGGTGTCGCTCGCTGTTGGTCTGCCAAATTTCCCAGGTTCAGGTGAGCAAATTACCACCACACGTTATGCAATTAATAATAAATAAATAAATAAATAAAAGATACTCTACTGTATTATTAAAAGCTTTACGAAGATAGATTATTTTAACGATATTTATATTTTTTTTCCAGGTTGTCGATTCTTCAACAGGAATCCTTATACGGGAAAATATGACTGCACGGAAACACCCGACCAAACCTTCCCTGGATTATTCCCACCTGTGCTTCAACAACCTTTCCCACACCCTCAACAACCTTTCCCACACCCCCAACAACCTTTCCCACACCCCCAACAACCTTCCCACACCCCAACAACCTTTCCCACACCCCCAACAACCTTTCCCACACCCTCAACAACCTTTCCCACACCCCCAACAACCTTTCCCACACCCCCAACAACCTTACCCAATAGCTGGCTAGCATTAATAGCCTGGCTATTTAAAGGTTTCACACCACAAGTACAATAGATATGTAAATAGATCTAGTCACACCCACATCCTTGTACCCACATCTTTATACCCACACCCACACACATATAATGCGTCTGTATCCCTTTAAAATGGTTTCAGAACATCAATATTATTTTAGGCATTACTTCATTAGTTATATATCATACTGTATATAACTTAACGTAGAGGAAGAGAAATTACACCCACATACAGTATAAGTACAGGAACTAGGCTATCCGTGTGGGTGTGTGTGGGTGGGTGTGTGTGGGTGGGTTATATAGTACCAAAGTCAGTGTGAAATCTATAATAAACTGACTTTAAAATTATCCTATGGTCGCTTAAGATTATTTTCGATGCATATCATTAACTTCGATCAGGTTGTTTTGTATAATTAGTAAACATTTGATCATCTAAATGTTACAGGATTCATCAGGTGTTTTCTTCAACATTGATGTACACCAAAATAATAGTGTGGAATTTTATAAATGTTATTTATTTGTCAAATATCACA